TAAAACCATCAATATCAAAGTTTTTTTTTAATATTTATGCATACAAGAATTGGGGTATATAGACCAGTGGTTTGAGGTAAGGGGCGGTGAGAGGGGTGAGAGGATTCACCAGCAACAGAGTGGGGAGCAGAACAGGCAGACCTACTGAAATACACTGCTGAGGGGAGCAGTGAGTGAGACAGGAGAGGTCTGCTTTACCATGTGGGTAGCTCCCTGGCTGGCGATCAAACTTATGCTGCAGCAGCGTTGGCTGGCGATAGCTTGATGGTGTTGAAAATTTAACTCCTGCACTACCAGGGAGACCCCCAATATCAACGATACTGATGCCTATACAGCGGGACATGTTTACTGTAAGAACTGTCCTAGATAAAGCATATTCTTTCAGTCTTGATTTCTTTTAAGTCCTGCACATTAAAATCACATGGCTAGATTAGGTCTTAAAATTTTAGGATTTTGGAGGTTAGTGCTTATTGGGGAGCAATTCTGAAATTTTGGGGGTCGATGGATTGTTAGTTTGCTAGACCTGCTCTTTAGGAAACAGAATATTGACTTTTTGGTAAGCCTTTCGGGGGGCTAACAGATGTTCTCGTTATGAACTGGTGAAAATAATACTCTCTCATGCACATCTTCTAGGCCATATGTCCTAACATCATGCATAAGTCTTGTTGGACATGCAAATGAATCCATAGCCCAAGGGCCATTATAACATTATATGAGAGCATTTTATTTGCAAGCATATTGATTTTTGTCCAGAAGTCATAGTACTCTTCCTCAAAGCCCAGATTGTCCTCTTTGATTTAGTACCTTTCTTGTGTAACCAGATCAACTTGCCCTGTTTTCGTAACTTAAAGTAGACTCTTGGTTAGCAGCCCATCACTAGTGATCAAGGAACAAAAATGTGTGAATTTTTCTAGCATTTCAGGAAGACGCATCTGTGTGTCTGATGGCTTAAGGGTATTAGAGTGAGAGAGATGAGACTGCTCAACAGTGAAAGTCACAGCTTTGTTATTAGATTATCTGTGCTGAGTTGGGACTTAATATATTATCTTTGAAATGAGGCATGACACTTCTCTCCATGTGAAGTCTGAATCAACATTTTATGGAGCATCTGCTTAAGTTTTCTTTCAGGCCTTTTCATAATGGAGACTGTCATCACTGGATTTTCCTTACTTTCTGAACACATGTGCTTTTCTACTTTTGTATTAGGGGTGTGAATGAAGGAGGGCGCATGGCAGTTGAGAGCTAGTAATATGAGAGCCATTTTTTGTCATCACTGACTTGGTATCAGCCTACCTCATAGTCAGCTTTGTAATTTGGTTGTTTCTTAGCTCTTCTAAAGATGTTTAGAGCAGGTGGTAGTGATGGTGGTTTTGCAGTTAGTTGCATTAAATTGAAAACAAGACCTAAAGGTGGGGCTTATGTAATTGATTTTAAAATTTATTCTTCTTTTTATGCTTACCTTTGCAGTTCATGTTGATCATGATTTTTTTTTAATGGCCTGGAAATTCCTTACATAGTTGACCTGTGGTATTTGACCTATGGTAGAGTAAGCTCTGGGGTGGTGAACATTGTTTGGTCACACCCAGGCTGTAGCAGTGATTCAGGTCACATTAGGCAGCCGGCTTCTATTAGAGTTGAATCTGAGACACAGGTTCTAGAAACCGGCATAATGGCCTTTTAATTATTTTTGATTTGTTTATGATTTTGTACTTTCCTTAACAGCATTGGTAACTGACCCAATATTGACCTTATTTTTTTTAAATATTGGTCAATCTGAAGCTTGATTTTGCTAATACAATATGAGGACTTTTTGTTTTTAGTAACGAAATTGAATGTTTGTTTTATCAAAGTAGTAAGAATCCAGTTTAAAGAGCCAAACAGTATTGAAATGTTTGTAATTTCAAAAGCAGCTCTCCATTTTTCCTTGTTTGTCCTCAATTGTGATACTTTTAATGTTATTTTCCTGAAGTATGTTATCTCTTTATTTCTATATCATATGTATTATTTTTTCTTTCTTAGATATCTAATATCATATGTATTATTTTTTCTTTCTTAGATATCTATTGAATTTCTATTGTGGAAGATGATTCTTCATTCTTATACTGCTACCCCCCTCAATCCTTCCTGCTGTCCTAATACAGGTTAAATCCATACTTGTGTATGTTTTACTATTATCAGAGCTCAATCAAACCATTCTTGATTTCAAAGGAGATATAGATGCTTACCAGACCATTGGAAGGCTGGGGATCATATGTCAGGGAAAGCCACGTTGCAGGGATTGCAAGGAACTGCTGCCACTAATAATTCTGACTACCTTAAACGCCAAAGCCGGCAATTTGCAGAATAGTGGAAGCTGCTGCAAACCACATGTCTGCCATCTGTCTGAGGCCACACACCTGTTCATTGCTGCTGGAGGAGCAATAATAGCATCTACTTTTCTTCCATCCATCCAGATCTTGAATGAGCGGTTTGTATCAGTAGAATTTAAGTCACAACCTCCTTGACGGGATTCTGGGAAATGTAGTTTCTAAACCTCCAACCTCCCCACTACCATGAGTCCAGAAAAGAGTAGAGGTACATGTTACCAAAAAGGGGAAACTATTAACATCTAGTATAATGATTGTGTGAACTATGATTGTATTTCCTTCCTTGTACATTTTTTCCCTAAATACAATAATCGCCTGTTTGGTTTTTGTTTGTTTGTGTGTTTATTTTTTGCTTGATTTACTCTATCCATAAACTCTGAACTATAAATCTCAAATAAATCTCTTTTTTAGTACAGAGCACGTTAGTGGGACATTATCCAGAGGTCTTATGGAAAAGCGTCAGCTGGAGGAGGTGCATTTTTTGAGGCCTTGAACGTCTGAATTTTTTCCTTTTTACCCTTATGCTGGTTGGTAGTTCGGCTAGACATAAAATGCTTTTGTATTCAGAGTATTAATCTGGCTAGTTGTGGTCTGGATTTCTAAATTAGAATGTGTTTCCTTCATCAGATTAACTCTTCTCTTTAGGAAAGTTCTGGCTGATGGCCTTGTGTGACTCCATTTTTTTAGCCAACATTTCTAAACCCACTGGTTCCTGAGATGTGTGGGTGGGGAGGACATATTAGTTATGAACATTGAGCTATTCTGCATCATCACTGTTCAAATCCAGAAATCTGTTCTTTTTTTGATGAAATGGAAAATTGACTTAGGCTTGAAAACAGATGCACTAATTATTTGTCTTGGATTTATGCAGCATCATTTTTGGAGATGTTAGAACACTGTGATTTGGAGTTTGTTTTGAACTTTCATGACATGAAAGGGTTCATTCTCTTCTCCTTTTGTATTCTAGATTCCTAGGCCTAGAAAGGAAAAACAACTGTATCTTTTATTACCAGTGTGTAAAACATCTGGAAGTGAGATGTTTACAGCTGCTTCTTGGTTGCTATGAAGGTCAGGAGCCAATGTGGAAAGGTCAAATGTAATGTGGAAAGGTCAAATGTAGCAACCTAGTTTGCAGTTCTTGGACACCTGTGACTGACTGAAATACAGCCAGCAGCTGCAGTTGGCTCTGATACAGAGCTGATCTGTAGTCTGAGATGAGCGCCTCTATCACAACATCTCTAATACATCTTTACAAGTACCGTGAAACTATGAATGAAGTGAATGAAGTCCCGAAAACAAATGCTAAGTCTGGTGGTGTCTCATTAGTTGGTGATCACTGGCGATGTTACAAGGCACTACTTTGAACTCTCACTGATTTGCTGCTATTGACTTTTTCCCCTACTTCCTCTTTAGGATAACAGGATTTTCTATTTTCTTTTCCCTGGGACATGTGGGTAGACTAGGGGTGTTTGGTGAGGTCATTCCCCTACCTCTCTTGATGATAATTTTGAGACATTTGATTTGCAGTTGCTTTTGTGTTAGTTATGTCTTGTCATCTTTTTTTTATTAAGCCATTATTTGCAGCTGTGGGTAGTTAATAATTGAATGCAAGAGTAGACATCTCATTGATTTTTTTTTTTTTTTTAAGATTTATTTATTTATACAAGCACTGGGGTACAGGCCAGAGGCGCGGGAGGGTGAGAGAATTCACCAGAGACAGAGCAGGGAGCAGAACAGGCAGAAGGACCAAAGTACACTGCTGAGGTGAGCAGTGGGCACTACAGTGGAGATCTGCCACGCCATCTGGGAATCTCCCTGGCCGGCTGGGAATTGAACCCGTGCTGCAGAGGCTGCGGACAGCTTCACAGCGCAGCACTCAACCTGCTGCACCACTGGGGAGGCCCCGATTTGTTATCATTTTAGATGGAGGGATTTGGCTTGGTTGCCCAGTTTTTGGGAATTACCTGTGGTAGCTAATGTTTACCACACCAAATAGTATGGGAACAAATAGACTTCTGAGTTTTTCAGTTTTAGGACTTTAAAAAAATCTGGGACAAGAGGAAAAGAGTCATGTGATGCAGAAAAGCTGCATTATTTGGATGTATACTTACATTTTCATTAAAGAAATTATGTTGGAAAAGATTTTGTTATATAGTTAAATGTATATCTTCTGCCTTCTTTTCTCTTCCAGAGTTGTGTGCTGCTTGTAACAGAAAATCATGTGTAGAGTAGAACATTCAAGTTTAATTGTAAAATCTTAGAAATAATCTTTGTGGATACGTGATTTTTTTTTTTTAATTGCTTGTTGAATCAATTAGGTTTGCTGCATCGTTGAATTTCTATGATGGAAAATGCCTGGAAAAATTATTATTTTTTCCCTTCATGGAATAACCATGGAATTATAATTAATTCCATCTCTACATGTGATAGAAGTCTGTTTTACCACAGGTTTGACAGAATTGAATTTCAGCAGTGAGGGAGGGCTAGCACCTTCTCCATTGAGAGAAGAGGATTTTGGATTATTTTCAAACTTGGGGGGGGGATAATAAAATATGTATAACATGAAAGTTGTTCTAGTCTGTTTCCTTGTATTTAAGATGGTTTAGTAATTACCTCTACTATATTCTGTTCTAGAACACATGGAAGCACGTCGTAGTTCTGTGTTGACATCAGTTCTCAAGTAATTATAGGAACCTGTTTGGCTTCTGCTGTTTGTAATTCTCGTAAAATGGCATGTGAGTACTCTCAGGTAGCTCCTGCTTCTTTTCTCACGTTGGGATTCTTTGACTTAAGAACTGAATGCCATTATGCGACTGTGGCAGTGAGCTCCCCTCCCCATACTGTACTGCTTTTCAGGAGCAAAGGTGAAGGGCAGGTGGACAGGCAGGCAGATAACTGCCAGGTGACTTTTAACCCTGGAAGTCTTCTAGTTAGTACCTAGATCCCTAGCTATGCTTACACCAAGAAATCACATATAGTTTGTGGGATTAATGGGATAAACGATTAAGTTTATGGTTTGCTTTAGGTGTGAAACTGTGGGTTCATTTAGACTTTGTTTGTATTACAGGTGTGTTGGATAGAAAGGATACTGCTTTGGAATATGGCCTATGAGGCGTCAGATTTCATTTACTGCTCTTCTCACTGTTCTAGCTCCTGTTACTTCTTACTAGTTCTCTAGCACACCTAGCTCATTCCCATCGTAGGGTTTTCACTTGCTGTTTGTGAGTTCTTTTTGGAATGCTTTCCCCCAGATGTTCATAGGGCTTGCTCTGCTCTTGGAGAGTCATCTTTGGGAGAGCCACCCCTTCCCCCAGGTCCCTTTCCCTGTAACCTTAGCTGAAAAAAAATCACTCTACCTGACTCCTACACTTTTCTCTATAGTTCTCTTTTTTTGTTCCTTTTATCAGTAACTAAGGTGCTGAGATTACATTTGTTTTCATGTTTATATTTCCAGTAGAATGTAAGCCCTAAAATTGTAGGAACTTGTTCAACTTCTAGAGCAGGGTTTATCAGTCTCAGTGTTATTAACATTGTAGATCAAGTAATTCTTTGCCGTGGGGCTGTGCTGTGTGTTATAGGATGTTTAACAGCACCTTTGTTTTCTATCCACTAGGTGCCAGTAGCATCCCCTAGTCGTGACAGTCATAAGTGTCTGTAGAAATTGGCAAATGTCTCCTGGGGACAGAATCACCCAGCTGAGAACCATTGTTGTAAAGCCATGCTTTGGCACCTAGTGGGTGCTTAACAGATACTAATTGAATGGAGTAAATGGTAGATACTCAATACATATTTATTTGGATGATGATAAATTCATGAATGAATTAATTCAGCAAGTTAATTTTGCAGCACTGAACTATGTGCATAGAGGTTAATGTTTCTTCCTTTTTTCCTTTTCATATAATTCTCCATTCTTTTGTCTTACCTATTTTATTTCTTTTTACCTCTACTCAGACTTAATCCCTTTCAGACAATGCCTCTCTTAAAGATACTATATTCAGTTGACCAAGTGACTTTTGAGCTCCTCCTGTAGGCTATAAAATAATAGGCAGGAACTAAGGAAACACGTGCTGCTGTCTGTGCTTAAGAGCACATTGTGTAAAATGGACATAGATACGTGAAATGTTCTTTCAGAGTTTCTTATTTCAGGGTAATATCTAAACTGGTACCACTGGGCCATCACTGGATTGAATCAGTATTTGCCAAGTGTTTATCAGGATGGGGTGAAATTGCTGTTGAATTTAGAATCCAACTTTAATAAAAAAACAATTACCCATTTACTTTTATTTACTTTCATTTGCTATAATTACCTTGATTTCTTGTTATTAATTCTATTTGTCTAAAGCCTGGTTGGGAAATACATAGAGTGGACTTGCTCATTTTGAACTTCTCGTTTGCTGTTTTATTGAGTGGTTGTGAACAGCTCACTCATCAGTGGGTTTTTAATGTCTGTGCTTGGAAAGTCTTGCCTATCCCACCTATCTGGGTTATTGAAGCTGCAATAAGCCAGGCTGTTGTTCCTTCTGGCTAGGATTAAGACACTGGCAAGACCCCATTCTCTATTATGTGCGTTTCTTTGTCCTAAAGCAACTGACTCTCTCTCTCTCTCTCTTTATTTTTTTTATTTTATTTATTTTTTTTAAAGATTTATTTATTTATTTATACAAGCACTGGGTACAGTCAGAAGCGCAGGAGGGTGAGAGAATTCACCAGAGCCAGAGCGGGGAGCAGAGCAGGCAGAAGGACTGAAGTACACTGCTGAGGGGAGCAGTGGGCGGCAGGAGGGGTCTGCGCTCCATGCGGGACCCTCCTCTGGTGGCTGGGGAGCAGCCGGGGATCGAACCGGTGCTGCAGAGGTTGCAGGCAGCTTCGCAGCCCAGCACTCAACCGCAGCGCCACCAGGGGAGGCCCTCTCTCTTTTTTTTAAAGATTGATTTATTTATACAAGAGCTGTGGTATAGGCCAGAGGTGCGGGGGCGGAGGGGGGGAGAGAGGATTCAGCAGAGATAGAGCAGGGAGCAGAACAGGCAGACGGACCGAAAGCACTGCTGAAGGGAACAGCGGACGAGACAGGAGAGGTCTGCCGCACTATGTGGGTATCTTCCTGGCTGGCCGGGAATCAAACCATTGTTGCAGGGCTGCAGACAGCTTCACAGTGCTGCGCTCAACCTGCTGCACCACCGGGGAGGCCCGCAACTGATACTCTCTTACTGCAAAACTTAGTTTGTCTCTGATAAAATTTTAATTACGGGATCAGAAGAGTTCCATTGAGGGGAATGTCTGGAACCTTTTCCTCTTGAAGATACAGCTGCCTTCTCTTTAGATTGTCTGGAGACAGAGTAGGCAAAGTTATTGGTCTTTCAGAGACCATCTTGAAATGTCTGTTTCTCCCCCATCTGTCTCTTATATTGGGAAGAGTTTTAGTAGGATATTCAAGAATTGAAGGTGTATTTAAGAAAGGAGAGATGATTTTCTTGACACCCCAAATTCCTACTTGTCTAACTGACTCTTATAAGGCTGAACTAAGGCCTTGAGACTTTGCTGAAGGAGACGGCCTCCTTTGTAAGACCAGGTTTTTTTTCCCTGTGGGATTTCGTGGGTATTTTGATATAAAAACTGTAATTAACTCCATAATCAAAACTGAGATCAAAGGAAAGTGCTGTTACCTGAGCTCTCTTTAGCATGAAAGTAGGTGGTGGTAAGATTTAGAATTTGGGGCCTCCCTCGTGGTGCAAGGGGTTAAGATGCAACCTATGAAGCTGTCCGTGGCCATGCGGCATGAGTTTGATCCCCAGCCAGGGAACTAACCTACATGGCACAGCAGACCTCTCCTGTCTCGCCCGCTGCTCTCCTCAGCAGTGTATCTCAGTCGATCTGCCTGTGCTGTTCCCCACTCTGTCTCTGGTGAATCTTCTCACTCCCCACACCTATGGCCTGTACCCCAGTTCTTTTTTTTTTAAAGATTTATTTATTTATTTATACAAGCACTGGGTACAGTCAGAAATGTGGTAGGGTGAGAGAATTCACCAGAGCCGGAGCGGAGAACAGAACAGGCAGACAGACGAAGTATACTGCTGAGAGGAGCAGTGGGCGGCAGGAGAGGTCTGCTCGCCATGTGGGGCCCTCGCCCGGTGGCCGGGAATCAAACCAGTGCTGCAGAGGCTGCAGGCAGCTTCGCAACCGAGCGCTCAACTGCTGCGCCACCGGGGAGGCCTGTGTACCCCAGTTCTTTTATGCATAAATAAATAAATCTTAAAAACAAACAAACAAAAAAGATTTAGAATTGGGGGGGACTTGTTTTTTTTAAATAACTTGTAATTGAAATTTGAGTTTTGTAACAGCAGAATACTGTTTGAATGAAGGCCCTCAATTGCAGTGGTGGCTAAGAGCCCTCTTAGATAATTTCAAATATGTGAAAAAAGCAACAACTAAATTGGAGTCTTCATTTATTAAATGTATACGGCTGTAGTAGGTGGTGCTTTTGTATTCAGGACATCTCCTGCTCTTACAGTGTAGAAATACTTGGGATGAAATGTTAGGAATATTAGACAGAAAATAGTTTGTCTTTCAAGGGGTAGAAGCAGCTTTTTTAAAAAGTGTATTGCTTGAGGGCCTCCCCTATGGCGCAGCAGTTGAGCGCTAGGTTGCGAAGCTGCCCGCAGCCTCTGCAGCGCCAGTTCGTTCGATCCCCGGCCACCTGCGAGGGTCCCACATGGCGCGCAGACCTCTCCTGCTGCCCGCTGCTCCCCTCAGCAGTGTACTTCGGTCCTTCTGCCTGTTCTGCTCCCTGCTCTGGCTCTGGTGAATTCTCTCACCTTCCTGTGCTTCTGACTGTACGCAGTGCTTGTATAAATAAATAAAAATCTTAAAAAAAAAAAAGCAAAGTCCTTAAAAAAAAGTGTATTGCTTGAATTTTATGAAAACTTGTATCTGAACTCTGGTAAACTTAACATAAGGAAGATTTGAAATAATGCTCTCTAGTCTTTAATTCAAAGATACTGACTCCTGGAATGTGAAAAGCTTATTGTATCATGGTTTTTCAGATGGGAAGTCTTAAGAAGGGGATGAAAATTACTGGTTGCTGAACTAGAGGCCACCTCAAAATATTTCTGATCGTCACTCTAAAGAGCACAAATGGTGAGGGTTGTAGTTCTAATTTAATAGATTAGAAAGGAGAGGCTTAAAATTCTGTAGAGAACCCTCTTTTTAGGTTTAATCTTTATTTTAACCTCAGGAATGTTAGATTCTTAAAATTGCATTAGTGCTTCCTGAAGGCCTGAATTTGCCCTTTGATTGAAAGTAACTGGTCATTAAAATTTGTTTGACTGTCACAGAACTTTCTGAACTATTTTATATTTTAGATCATTTGTTTTTAGCTAGAAGTTCTTGAAGCAGACTCTTCTGCATTGGACTAGTGATTCTGTTATTTTATTTTTATTTATTTTTACAGAGAAGAACTGGGATATAGGCCAGAGGTGCAGGGGTTGAGAGCATTCATCAGAGACAGAGTGGGGAGCAGAACAGATGGATCTACTGAAATACACTGCTGAGGGGAGCAGCGGGCGAAACAAGAGAGGTCTGCTGCTCCATATGTGGGTTAGAGCCCTGGTCAGGGACTGAACTGACCACCAGGAAAACCACCAGGATGATGGGGTGATAGCACTGAGACTTAATTCCTACACCACCAGGAGGCCACGGGTTAGTGATTCTATGTATCAATCCTAAATTGGTTTGCCTAAAGTTTCTTTTGGGGATATTCATTTAGTTTTACATACAGGGGCCTCCCTGGTAACGCAAGGGGTTAAGACACAACCTGTGAAGCTCACCGCAGCCACTGCAGCACGAGTTTGATCCCTGGCCGGCCAAGGAGAAACCCATATGGTGAGGCAGACCTCTCCTATCTCGCCTGCTGCTCCCCTCAGCAGTGTTTCAGTCAGTCTGCCTATTCTGTTCCCCACTCTGTCTCTGGTAGATCCTCTCACCCGCACTCCCGTGCATCTCTGGCCTGTACCCCAGCTCTTGTATGCGTAAATAAATAAATCTCAATAAATAAATAAACAAACAAATAAATAAATAAATCTTTAGGGGAAAAAAAAATTAGTAAGCCAAACCAATTTCCAGCAGGGATTTTTGTCACAGAGATTAGTGAAATAGAAAGAACTCAGAAGACTTGAGTTTTAGTTCTGACTTTTTACTTTCTCCTGAGTGATCTTTGGTTGGTCAGTCTTTTTCTCTCTCCTGCAGCTGCAGTGTCCTCACTTGTATAACAGGAAGCCATGATACTCTGCTGTATGCCCAACGTCACTGATAGGAGCATGTTGTACGTGCAGAACAAAGGTTGAGAGCCACTGCCTGTAGTGTAGTCAACACTGAATTGTTGATACTTGACAAAAGTGATTTTTTTTTTTATTGTATCTATTTTGAAATCAGAGTTTAAATTGAGCCTATTTTAAGGAGGCTTTACCTTTATAATTGCACATACTGGTCTTTATCAGTAGGTTGCTTTAAAAAAAAAAGATTTTCTTGGGGCCTCCCTGGTGGCGCAGCGGTTGAGCACTGGGTTGCGAAGCTGCCAGCAGCCTCTGCAGCGCCGGTTCGATCCCCGGCTGCTCACCGGCCACCGGAGGAGGATCCCACATGGTGCGCGGACCTCTCCTGCCACCCGCTGCTCCCCTCAGCAGTGTACTTTGGTCCTTCTGCCTGCTCTGCTCCCCGCTCTGGCTCTGGTGAGTTCTCTCACCCTCCCGCGCTTCTGACTGTACCCAGTGCATGTATAAACAAAAAAAACAAACAAACAAAATAAATAAAAATAAATGAAACATGCCTCTATTAAAAAAAAAAAAAAAAGATTTTCTTGACTGGAGAATTACTGTTTCCCTAATAAGTGGAGTGCTCTGCAAGGCATCAGCTTGTTCCTTTTGATCTCTTCTTACTTTGTGGCATGTAGGTTGGATCACCTGTGGATATAGTTAGAATTGAGACTTTCCTGAATCTCCTTTCCATATCATTCTAGGAGACTGTTTCATCCGTGTCAGCCAGAGGTAGGCAGAATGGGATACCCAGAAAAGGCAACTGGAATTACTTGAAAATGTTTGTTTAAATAAACTGTTATTTCCTGCTAGCTTTCTTTAAGGATGAAGTGGGGGCTTTGGAATGGAAAGGTCAGAGTGAACCCAAAGAATTCAAATAGAAGAACTTTTTGGGCTTCCCTGGTGGCATAGGGGTTAGTCTCAGAGCTATCACCACTGTGGCCTTGAGTTTGATACCCTGCCAGGGAGCTAATCTACATTTGGTGCAGCAGACCTCTCCACTTTTTTCCGCCCCTTCTTCTCCTTATGTTTCTGTTATTTAAAATTTGTCCCCCTGGTGAAAGATGTTCTGCTTATGAGGATTTTGATCCTTATAATTTGATAATATTTTGATCAGTTTGTAAAGCCTAATGTCTTAGCTCCCAGGCAAAGATAGATAAGGTCTAACTTAAAAACAGAAACAAGAAGGTATTTCCCTTGGAGGGGAGCCAGCTGTTCATTTCTTGAAGTGAATTCAGATACCATTCCCTAAGGAACTACCTAGCCAAAGTACTGTCCAATTCTTTGTGGTTAGAACAGAAAGCACTGCTAGGTAGCCAGCCAGGCTGCAGTAGCATTAGACTGAAAGAAGTTTAGATTATTGAGCACCTTCACAGTCATATTTCTGCTTAAATTCTTAAGGTTCTTGGTTTGCTAGAACCTTTGGAATATTTGCCTGTTCCTTACATCATTCCCAGGTGTTCCGAAAAGTGGTTTCTCCTTTATCCACGCAGAGATTTTTCATCATCCTTGTAAGGAATTCAGAAGCATACTTCCTCCGTGGGTTGTCACACTGGCTTGATCTTTCAGGCTTGGTTTGTTGTGCCTGCTCTCCTGTCTGTACTAGAGGCTACCTGTGCGTTTTCCTGTGTCCTAATCTCATTAATCACCTTTCTTGTAAGCAGTTCTTCCATGTATTGATTGGTTGGGTTGATTACCCTGTCTTGACTCTTTCTTATTGTCTGTAAGTTGAACTCACAATTACCGTGTTATTTTGGCTTTGATTTTTGGGGGACCAAGAATGGAATTTCCAGGTCCCCCCTGGTGGCTCAGGGTTATAGTCTCAGCAGTATCAAGCTATTGCCAGCCACTGTGGCATGAGTTCAGTCCCTGGTCAGGGATCTGACCCACGTGGCGCAGTAGACCTCTCCTGTCTCGCCCCCTGCCTCCCCTCAGCAGTGTATTTTGGTAGATCCGCCTGTTCTGCTCCCCACATTGTCTCTGATGAATCTTCTCAATTCCCTCTCCTCCCACCCCTGCACCTCTGGCCTATACCCCAGTTCTTGTATGCATGAATAAATAAAAATAAATCTTTAAAAAAAAAAGAGTGGTATTTCCTTGAGATAGCTTTTTGAGGGTAGTTATTGTTAATGAATTTGGGTTTTGTCTTTGTCCCTTACTTTAATGTGTTAGGGTAAAACAGTTTTCTGTTTTTAGTCTCATTTGTAAAATGAGCATCACTTGGAATGTAATAGAGGCACAGCTATATAGTTTTGGTTTTTTTAATTTTTTTTTTAAGATTTATTTATTTATACAAGCAATGGGTATAGTCAGAAGCGCGGGAGGGTGAGAGAATTCACCAGAGCCAGAGCTGGGAGCAGAGCAGGCAGAAGAACCGAAGTACACTGCTGAGGGGAGCAGCGGGCGGCTGGAGAGGTCTGCGCACCATGTGGGACCCTCCTCTGGTGGCCGGGGAGCAGCTGGGGATCGAACCGGCGCTGCAGAGGCTGCGGGCAGCTTCGCAACCCAGCGCTCAACCGCTGCGCCACCGGGGAGGCCCCAGCTATATAGTTTTTGAGTGTTGTTTTGTGACCTGATAAGAAGCTAAATTCTCACATTTATGTTCTGTTTAGAGTGCAGAGTTATAACTACACCAGGGGTCAGAAACTGTGACTCATTAGTCAGAGTTAATCTACAGTCCATTTTGTACGGCCCATGAACTAAGGCTGGTTTTTACATTTTTAAAATATTGTACAAATCAAGAGAATGAGAAGACAAGCTACAGACTAGGAAAAAATATTTGCTAAAAATACATCTGATAAAGGACTTTCCAAAACACACAAAAAACTCTTGAAGCTCAATAGTAAGAAAACAAACAACCTGATTAAACACTGAGCAGAGATTTCAGGAGACATCTCACCCATGAAGACACACAAATGGCAAGTAAGCATGTGAAAAGATGTTCAAAATCTTATGTCACTAGGGAATTGAAAAATAAAACAAGATACCACAACACACCTATTAGAATGGCCAAAATATAAAACACTGACAGCACCAAGTGTTGGCAAGGATATGGAGCAATAGGAACTCTTATTCATAGCTGGTGGGAATGCAAAACAAAAATGAAAAATGGAAGACATTTTGGCAGTCATTACAAAACATACTCTTACCATATGATCCAGCAGATGCTCCTTAGTATTCAAGTGAGTTGAAACTTATGACCAGGGCCTCCCTGGTGGTGCAGCAGTTGAGCGCTGGGTTGCGAAGCTGCCCACAGCCTCTGCAGTGCCGGTTCAATCCCCGGCTGCTCCCCGGCCACCAAAGGAGGGTCCCACATGGTGTGCAGATCTCTCCTGCCACCCGCTGCTCCCCTCAGCAGTGTACTTCGGTCCTTCTGCCTGCTCTGCTCCCCGCTCTGGCTCTGGTGAATTCTCTCACCCTCCTGCGCTTTTGACTGTACCCAGTGCTTGTATAAATAAATAAATAAATCTTAAAAAAAAAAGATTAAAAAAAAATCGTTAAAAAAAAAAAAGAAACTTATGTCCATACAAAAATCTGGATGAAAATGCTTATAATCGCATTATTCATAATTGCTAAAATTTGGAAGAAACCAAGTAGTTCCTTAGTAGGTGACTAGATAAATAGACTGTGGTACATCCAGACACGGACTATTATTCAGCACTAAAAATTTCGAAAAGAGCCCAAAATGACATGGTGGAAACTTAAGTGTATGTTTCTGAGCAAAAGATGCCAGTCTGAAAGGGGTGCATATTGTATGATTCCTACTGTAAGTTATTCTGAGAAAGACAAAACTTTAGTAACATTGAAAAGATTAGTGGTTACCAAGGGTCACCCAAGAGAAAGAGATGAATCAAAAGTATTCTATATGGTACTTTAAATACATCAATCCAAACCCATAGAATCTAGGGCACCAAGAGTGAACCCTCATGTAAACTCCGGACTTCTGGTGATAACAAGGTGTTAAATGTAGGTTCATCGCTTACAACAGGATGTAAACAGTGAGGGAGGGTGTGCCTATGTGTGGGGACAGTGGCTGTATGGGAACTCTTATTTTCTGCTTTTTGCTGTGAATGTAAAATTGATCTTCAACAAAATTTATTTTTAAGAAGTCTGTCAAAACAAATAGTAATATGCCACAGATATCACATGTAGTCTCAAAGCCTCAAAGATACTTACTATTTGTCCTTTTACAGAAACAGTTCAGCCTCAACTGTATCAGAGTGGAACCTAGAGATGGTAGTTTCTCTCTGGTACCATGCCAGTTTCTCTAGTTCTCTTGCATACACAGTGAATGATGGCAGAATTGTTCTCATGAAGTTCTCTTATTTGCAGGTATATGAGTGACCTAAAGCTGCAAACTAAAACGGAGAGAGAGCAGTGCCAACTGCAAGCCAGGAAAGGATGCCAATTCCACCTCCACCCCCTCCTGGTCCGCCTCCACCTCCCACTTTTAACCAGGTAGGCAGTCTTTTCACCAGGCTGTCTTAGAATCTTTGAGTTCTAAGGGCCCTCACATATTTGTTTCCACCCCTTTGGTTTAAAATTCTAGATTTCCCTACCCCTAGCATTCTTGTTCTGAGCCTGCTCTTTAATTCTGTTTTTAATATCCCATGGTGATAGTATTAATGGATACCTCCAGCTCCCTGGGATAGGACAGAGCATAAAGACACGTGGTATGGGAAGGTAAACAGTGAACAAGTAGGACTTGTCTAGTGGCACAAAGGGTTAAGTAGCAGCACTGTGAAGCTATCCACAGCCACTGCAGCACGAGTTCGAGACCTAGCCAGGGTGCTAACCCACATGACACAGCAGACCTCTCCTGGCTCCCCTGCTGCTCTCCTCAGCAGTGTATTTCAGTCAATCTCCCTGTTCTGTTCCCCACTCGGTCTCTGGTGAATCCTCTCACCCCCCACACCTCTGGCCTTTTCCCCAGTTCTTGTATGCATAAATAAATAAATCTTTAAAAAAAAAAATGAGCAAGTAAAGTCTGTCCTAGTTCTAACTCTGAGGCGATCTTTTCCTGGTTCAGTCTAATTGGAGATTTGGATAGGTAACATCAGAGAAGGAACTCACGATTCTCCCAGAACTATCTGTTCTATGGAGATCAATGTGTTATTTCTCTGGCATCCTTGAGAAAAGTGATTTCTGTTCGTTGTGTTTTACTACCATTTTATCTTCTTTACTCCAAATCAGTTATTTTTAAGTCCTTCAAGTCTCATGTCCTGTCAGAAAGAAAGGCGTTTATGGAATATATTAGTAAGAAGACTTAAAGGTTTGATAATAGAGAAAGAAAGCAGTGTGGCTTCTGAACACAAGAGGGAGCCACTTTGACTGTATGTGGGTTGCATAATATCTGGTGTCACAGGAGAAAGAAGGTACTTTGTCTCTGTTTTTGTAAAAGTAACTAGAGAATGACTGTACGTGTGTGTTGTGTGTGTGTGTTTTAAAGAGGAAATTTTGCTCTAAAGAAGACAAGTTGCCTAGCTGACTTATTTCAGGACTGGCACTCAGGTCTGTCAGCTTCTGTTTTGGGTTTTTTCCCCTCAGAACTTAGGGTTTTCAGACATTTTGTTTAAGGATAGATGTGAGCCCTCTTTAGATGAAATGTTATGTGAACTAGGGGAAAGCAGAATTCTCTGGTTATAGTGTGGCTTAGCAACCCAAAGTGCATGCTTGGATCTCTGTAACTTGGATTGTTGCCCTGCATCATTCTGTCTTAGTCGTTCACTCTTTTTTTTTTTTTTAAGACTTATTTTATTTTTTAAGACTTTATTTATTTATTTTTATGACTTATTTTATTTATTTATACATGCAAGAGCTGGGGTGTAGGCTAGAGGTGGGTGGGGGGGGGGTTAGAGGATTCACAAGAGACAAATGAGGAGCACAATAGGCAGATCCACTGCTGAGGGGAGCAGCGGGTGAGACAGGAGATGTCTGCTGCACCATGTGGGTTAGCTCCCTGGCCAGGGATCTAACTCATGCCATAGTAGCTGCCAATAGCTTGATAGCATTGAGACTTTGACCCCTGCACTACTAGGGGGGCTCCTGAGATGAGTCTTAATGGACAAATCAAGTTTAGACAGAAGGAGAAGAGGAATAGGAAAGATACTTGAAATTGAGGAAGAAATGTTATTGCTTATTTGTGAGAAAGCACATTAGGGTTTAGATTATTGTTTGAAGCAGGTATGGCAGAAATGAGAATATAGACTGGGGATATAGACTTGAGAGTTTGGATTTTTCTCCTGGCAATGACAGGGAGATATTGAAATATTTTAGCAGCAGGAATAACCTGATTGGGTTTGTATTAGAAAGGTCACTCTTGGGCCTCCCCGGTGGTGCAGCGGTAGAGCGCTGGGTTGCAAAGCTGCCCGCGGTCTCTGCGGCGCCGGTTCAATCCCCGGCCACTGGAGGAGGGTCCCACATGGCGTGCAGACCTCTCCTGCCGCCCGCTGCTCCCCTCAGCAGTGTGCTTTGGTCCTTCTGCCTGCTCTGCTCCCCGCTCTGGCTCTGGTGAGTTCTCTCACCCTCCCGCGCTTCTGACTGTACCCAGTGCATGTATAAACAAAACAAACAAATAAATAAATAAATAAAACATGCCTCTATTTAAAAAAAAAAAAAAAAAAGAAAGGTCACTCTTTTTTTTTTTTAAAGATTTTATTTATACAAGCACTGGGGTACAGGCCAGAGGTGTGGGAGGTGAGAGAATTCACCAGAGACAGAGCAGGGAGCAGAACACGTAGAAGGACCGAAGTACACTGCTGAGGGGAGCAGCGGATGAGGCAGGAGAGGTCTACCCCACCATGTGGGAATCTCCCTGGCTGGCCGGGAATCGAACCAGGCTGCAGAGGCTGTGTGCAGCCTCACAGTGCTGTGCTCAACCCGCTGTGCCACCGGGGAGGCCCTGGAAAGGTCACTCTTTTTTTTTTTTTAAAGATTTATTTATTCATGCATATAAGAACCAGGGTACAGGTCAGATATGTGGGAGGGTGAGAGGATTCACCAGAGACAGAGTGGGGAACAGAACAGGCAGACTGACTGAAATATGCTGCTGAGGGGAGCAGCAGGCGAGATGGGAGAGATCTGTCCCGCCATGTGGATATCTCGCTGGCCAGCCAGGGATCAAACTTGTGCTGCAGTGGCTGCGACTAGCTTTATAGGTTGTGTCTTAACCCCTTGCTCCACCAGGAGGCCCCTCTATTGCCTTTTTTTTTTTTCAAAAGAGATGGATTTCTAATCTGCTTTTCTTAGTTGTTAATACATTGTAGTCATTAGTATATCATTAATGCATCTTATTAATACATCAGTACATCATGTGTGACTTGTCATTAAATGGTCAAGTGATATCACTAAAAAATCTTTTTTACTATTGGAAAAATGTGGGAAAAGGTGCAGCAGACCTCTCCTGACTTGCCCGCTGCTCCCCTCAGCAATGTGCTTTGGTCAGTCTGTCTGTTCTGTTCCCCACTCTGTCTCTGGTGAATCCTCTCACCCCCGTGACTCTGGCCTGTACCCCTGCTCTTCCATGCATAAATAAATAAATCTTTTAAAAAAAAAGTGGAAAAAATTAACAATAGATATAGAAAATGTTAAACTATCTTTAATAACCTCTGCTAACATTGTATCTGTTTATTGTGGGAAAACTAGAAAAATACAGATAACAAGGAATTATTACCTGAAATTAGCTTTTGCTAGTATCAGTGTTTGTCTTTCCAGAAATTTCCTATATGTGTGCACCTTTGTTCTTCCAGATATAATCCAGCTACGGTTTACTAAGCTCTTACTATACACCAGTCACTTGCTAAGTTTTTGAAAAGGGTTATTTAATTCTCAGAACTACCTTATGAGATAGGTTCTATTTTTACCCCATTCTATAAAGGAGAAAACTGGACTTATTCTGTATATATTGTTTTATAATTTTTTTTGCTTGATGCTATCAAACATTTACTGCCTTAAAAAGATGTTCACTTCTTGGGCCTCCCCGGTGGCGCAGCGGTTGAGCGCTGGGTTGCGAAGCTACTCGCGGTGACGGTTCGATCCCCGGCTGCTCCCCGGCCACCAGAGGAGGGTCCCACATGGCGCGCAGACCTCTCCTGCCGCCCGCTGCTCCCCTCAGCAGTGTACTTCAGTCCTTCTGCCTGCTCTGCTCCCCGCTCTGGCTCTGGTGAATTCTCTCACCCTCCTGCGCTTCTGACTGTACCCAGTGCATGTATGAACAAAAACAAACAAACAAATAAATTAAATAAAACATGCCTCTATAAAAAAAAAAGATGTTCACTTCTTTAAAACTCAGCTGGCATCCCACTGTATGGTTTATACCATCATTGTTACTTTGAGTAGAATTTTTAGATTATTCAGTTATATGCTATTATAAACTGGCATTTGTTATTGTTAATATCTTTGTGCACTTTTCTTAATTATTTTCCTAAAGTTAATTTCTAGAATTCTTGTCTAGATTGTAAAGTATTTAATACAGGGGCCTCCCTGGTGGTGTATGGATTAAATCTTAGTGCTATCATTGCCATGGCCTGAGTTTGATCCCTGGCCAGGGAACTACAGGGCCATGTTCATACAGGGAACATGGTGCAGCAGACCTCTTCTGTCTCTCCCACTGCTCCCCTCAGCAGTGTATTTCAGTAGATCCGCCTGCTCTGGGTTAGCTTCTGGCTGGCTGGGGATCGAACTCATGCTGCAGAGGCTGCAGATAGCTTCATAGTGCTGAGACATAACCAGGGAGGCCCTGGAGTCTCTTTTATAACATTGTTTAGAAGTTAGATTGAAGTAGTAGGGAAGCAATAGGATAATATATTAATTGAGATGAAATATGAATTTTAGCATCACACTCTGGGTTTGTATATCTTGCTTACCCATTTATTGGGTGCTTGGCACCCAGTAGAACACTAGTCAACTTCTGCCCCACACTTTCCAAATAGGTAATGATAATAATACTTATCTCATAGGAAAAGTTCAAGATTTAAATGAGATAATGTAAGTAATGTGCTTATCCTTAGCACAGTGCCTGCGGCATAGTAGGAACTCAGTAAACGTCTGCCTGGATGATGACAACATGCCAAGTATCTAACATACAACCCTGGCTTGTAGAGGTGCTCTGTAGGTATTCGTGCAGGCCTCCTAGCAGAAGCTTCTGAGTAGAAGGGAGATCTACACCCTTCATAGAAGCCACAACAGAAGAGAAAGGACTAGGAGATGAGCATGCACACCGTTACTGCCATTTGGCGCACACACCCGAGTAAGTTAAGGCAGCTCATGGAGTAAAGGTTGGCTTAAGATGTTTATCCCAAGTTGGTCATGAAAGGAACTATTCAGGATGAATTTATATTTCTCTCTTCCTCCAGGCAAACACAGAGCCGCCCAAGCTGAGTAGAGATGAGCAGCGGGGCCGAGGTGCCCTCCTACAGGACATCTGCAGAGGGACCAAGCTGAAGAAGGTGACCAACGTTAACGACCGGAGTGCTCCGATCCTTGAGAGTGAGTCTGAGCTTCCCTTCCTAGGGGACAGCGTGATCCCAGGACTGACTTGGAGACTTGGCTAGCTTGTCATTTTTATTGTGCCCCTTGATGAGGGGCGCTTTGTCCTTTGGGAGAATTTTCTTTGCATGTTTTTTTACTATCTTCCCCTCTGTTCATTTAAACACCTTAGAAGTTTCTTTTTGAAAAAAAAAGAAGAAGAAGAAGTTTCTTTTTGATCTTTGGGAAGCATACTCAAGGTTGGGACTCCCTTCTCTCCCTTTAACTAGTACTAGTTAGGGGGCATCCTTAGCTATTCTCTGAGGAATGCACCATAGCCCTACAAACTGCTGAGCCCTACAAACTGCTGAGCTATGGTGAAGGATGAGTTTATAATTGCTTCAGATGTCCATTCATCAAGCTCTGGAGAGCTTGGGAATATCTGGGTTTCTGAGTCACTGGCCCCCTTATCCTCTGGGGCTTGCTGCCCAGAGAACTCCGCTGAACATTTCTTTATCCTGGTTGTCCCTCTGCCCTAAATGAGGGAAGATTGGCACCTTCTTTTTGTTCTTTCTCTTTCATAATGGTTTCATCCCCGTAACAAGCTATGGAACAGAGACCTAGCTTTTTTTTTCCTTTTTTTGGGAGAGGCAAGGACAAGTTTTGTGTTTGTTTGTTTGTTTGTTTACAAATTAAAGCCCAGATCAAGGAAGGGTTTCTTCTCAGATTGACTCAGTCACCAGCTCAGAGCATATGAAGTGAAAACTTTAATGGCGTGCTTTCCAGAGCCCAAAGGAAGCAGTGGTGGTTACGGCTCTGGAGCAGCGGCCCTGCAACCAAAGGGAGGTCTTTTCCAAGGAGGGGTGCCGAAGCTCCGGCCTGTGGTCGCCAAGGATGGATCAGGTACCGGATGGTGCTCTCATAGGAGGTTTCTCAAAAGTTAGCTGCTGGCTGGACCCAAGGGAGACATCTGGGATTGGGGTGTGGGGTAGAAATGGGAGGATGAAGTGGGAGCCAGGGAAGAGTTATAAAGTAGAATAAAGCAAAAGCTGAGGGATTAAAGAAGTTATATTAGCAGTATTTGTCAGCGTGCCCCGAGCCTGCCCCCAGCCTGTGAGCTATGTCCCCTGCTGCATGTAGGTTGTACCTGGGAGGCTGGCGGGGCACTCAGCTAGCTCTGTTGGCTCAGTGCCTTGTGATGTCTTGTAGAGAACCTCACTGGTAAGCAAGCCCTCCAAGTTCCCAGTGCTCGAGCTGCTGCCCCAAGGCCTCCAGTGTCGACAGCCGGCGGGCGTCCTCAAGATGATGCAGACAGCAGCCGGGCCTCGCTCCCAGAACTGCCCCGGATGCAGAGACCCTCATTACCGGACCTCTCTCGGCCTAACACCACCAGCAGTACGGGCATGAAGCACAGCTCCTCTGCCCCTCCTCCACCACCCCCGGGGCGCCGTGCCAACCCCCCCCCTGCACCTCTGCCTATGCACAGCAACAAAGCCCCAGCCTACAACAGAGAGAAACCCTTGCCGCCCACACCTGGACAGAGGCTTCACCCTGGTCGAGAGGGACCTCCCGCTCCACCCCCAGTCAAGCCACCTCCTTCTCCTGTGAATATCAGAACGGGACCAAGTGGCCAGTCTCTGGCTCCTCCTCCTCCGCCTTACCGCCAGCCTCCGGGGGTCCCCAATGGACCCTCCAGTCCCACTAATGAGTCAGCCCCTGAGCTGCCACAGAGACACAACTCTTTGCATAGGAAGACCCCAGGGCCTGTCAGAGGCCTAGCGCCTCCTCCACCCACTTCAGCCACCCCCTCTTTACAGAGTAACCGGCCGCCTCCCCCAGCCCGAGACCCTCCCAGTCGGGGAGCAGGTAAGTGCCTGCAAGCACCTTTTTTCTTCTGGGAGTAAGGGATGAGTTTATCTCTCTACTCTTTCTCCAGAGCTCCCTTTTGGTGATTGAAACATTCACTAAACTCAGTAGGTTTATTAAGTAAGCGCCTTTTTATGTGTCAGACTCTGCTGTTAGGGAAACAGCAATAAATAGAGAAAACCAAAAAATTCCTGTTCTCCTGGAGAGTCGAAGAAATCAGTAAAAAAAACAAATAGATAGCATGTAGATTCTTTAAGAAAATACACAGCAGAGAAGGGGAATTGGATGTTCTGGGGTGGGGGGGGTAGTGCTATTCCACTGCAGTGGTGGGGGTGTGGGTGGGGTCGGGGAGGCCTTATGATAAAGTGACAGAGCAAGCTAGGCAGCTGTTTGGGAGAACGGCTACTGCAGGCATTGGGGCAGTGAGGACGCCATGTGTGAATGAGTAAGGGAAAGAATGGAAGGACCTGAAGGTCAAGAAGCTTCGTTTCGTTGGGGAAACATCATGTGAGGTGGAGAGCCAGTGGAGGAGTTTAAACAGAGTAGTGTTGATTTACAAAGTTCACCACTCCTATGTCAAACACAGCCTACAGGACAAGAGTGGCCAAAGGAGACCACTCAGGAGGCTGTTGCAATAACCTGGCAGATGGGCAGGACTACAGCAGGTATGGGGGAAGACAGGTGTTCAGTTTTGGACAAATTGAGTTTGCAGTGTGTGTTAAACATCAGGGAGGAAAGAGTGAACAGTGATTGGCTGTCAGTCTGCAGTTCACAGGAGAGATCGAGGCTCAAGAGACAAATTTGAATGACATGAAAACCACATGCCAGGTGAGATTGCCTAGGGTGTGAGCATAGATAGAGCAGAGGTCTGAAGTCTGAGACCCGTGGCCTTCCCACATTGGAGGTCAGAGATTAAGAGAACCAAGCAGAGTGAGCCTCTTCTGGTGGTGCAGGTGGTTGAGCGCTGCACTGTGAAGCTGTCCGCAGCCTCTGCAGCGCCGGTTCAATCCCGGCCTGCTGGAGAGGGTCCCACATGGCGTGCCAGACCTCTCTGCCATGCCTGCTGCTCCCCTCAGCAGTGTATTTCATCAGTCTGCCTGTTCTGTTTCCCGCCCTGGTGAATCCTCTCACCCTCCTGCGCATCCGGCCTGTACCCCGGTTCTTGTATAAATGAATAAATCTTTGGAAAAAAAAAAGAGAACCAAGCAGAGGAAACTGAGGAGAGCCCCAAGTGAGGAAGGAAGGAGGGAAAACAAGAGAGGGTTGGAAAAACTTAGGACGGAATAAGTGATCCCCATGTCCAGTGCTACAGAGACTGACATTGATCTTAGCAGTGTGGGAGTCATTTTGGGAGACCCTCAAACCACATAGAATCCTTTTAAATAGTTTAATGGGTGGTGGAGGCTGAAGGTAGACGTTTAATAGGGATGGATTCAAGAACAGAGAAACTGGGGCCTCCCCGGTGGCGCAGCAGTTGAGCGCTGGGTTGCGAAGCTGCCCGCAGCCTCTGCAGCGCCAGTTCGATCCCCGGCTGCTCCCCGGCCACCAGAGGAGGGTCCCACATGGCGCGCAGACCTCTCCTGCCGCCCGCTGCTCCCCTCAGCAGTGTACTTCGGTCCTTCTGCCTGCTCTGCTCCCCGCTCTGGCTCTGGTGAATTCTCTCACCCTCCGGTGCTTCTGACTGTACCCAGTGCTTGTATAAATAAATAAATAAATAAATAAAAAAAAAAAAAGAAGTATTTCTAAAAAAAAAAAAAAAGAACAGAGAAACTGGCGGAGGAGTTGGAGCGAGCAATATAGAAATCTCTGAAGGAGTTTGCTGTAATGGGGTGTGGAGAGCAGATAAATGGATTGTTTGCTGGAGGAGGATATGGGATTGAATTGAGGGTTGGGTTATTTCCTGCCATGATGGAAACTATTTCACTGTCTCCCTGTGTGCTGCTGGGCTGATACTGCACACAGATGCAATGATACTCAGGGGAAATTGCCTGACCAATGTCCTAGGGGAAGTGACAAGGAATGGAATCTGATTTATAGGCAAGGTGTGGGCCTAGGATGAGAACCCAGATAGTTCTTCCATATAACAGAGGCAGGCAGAGCGGTAGCCATGGAGACAAGTGCTACGGTAGTTGGGTGCAGTGGTAGGAGCATGTGGAGAGTTTCTGCTGATTTGTTTGTGTTTTTTAAGTGAAACAGGAGCAAGGGACCTACTGTAAGTGGGGAGGGAAGGACAGGGAGATCTGAGAGAGAAAAGGGCATGAGATGGTCATCAGAAAGCATGGCAGAGAGGGTGGAGCAGGGGAGCTTGCTAGGATGAGCCCCAAACCGAAAGACCCATTCAAGATTTGGGGCTTTTCATTTCGAGTCAGACTGTTTAGCTTGGTGGGTGCTCAGCTGTGCTTGTGCTGGCACTACATGGGGCACAGGGTTGTGTTTAACTGAATTAACATTTTTCAGGCACTTGTGACTCTACAGGAGAGCAGGGAAGGGAGTTGAGGGTGTGTGATAAGGAGTGATTATAACAACTTCGGAAGGACAGTGGTCCTGAGCTGGGTCATGGGAGAATGGAGGAACTCTAGAAATGGTAGGCTAGGTTTTATAATCTTTTTGCAAAATAGCGTGACTGAAATTAGAGTGTGGGGGAGACCATAGCAACTCTCTGGGCTTTCTTTAGACGCAGGAGTTCGGCTCCAGTATCCTTGCATCATTTGACTTGATGCAAAAATGGCATTTGAGCTTCTCTTGTAAATCAGTTCCTGCAGGTATAGATAATTGATTAAAAGGCTATGTCATGAAGATGCGTGTATTAACAGCCCATTAGCCTGTGCTGTTGCCTGGTTAGGTGGTGGAGATTCCTGCTCCCAGGAGCTGCAGGCTAAGTCAGCACACAGCAGCCTTGTACATTCTTCTCCACACATCTCCCTGTCCTTAGCCAGGAGGATATAGTTGTAAGGCAACCTTTGATTCTACAGTTTTGGTTCAGAAGTTCTTTGTAACTTAGAGATTTTTCTTTTAAGACCCTTTATATGAGCAGAGCCCTTATCTTTCTAACTCCATCCAGGAATAGAAGTAGAGAAAAATGTGATGTCTGTGGGTTGAGCCTAGTAGTTTTAAATGTCCACAGACTCCCTGCTACCCATTTGTCAGTTCTTTGTGGTTTCTTTAGAAAAATATGAAGTTAAGAGCCTTGGTCTTCTGTCTCCAAGCCATCACCGACTTTGAGGCATGCCTGAGGCCTCAGGTGGCTTTCCTTATCAGTAAACAGAGCAGCGATTCTGAGTGATACACTGGGAAAAATTTTGAGATGTTTTAATCAGAGATCTTTTGAGTATTGACTCCATATGTTATGTGACATTAGGCATATCAGAGTCTCTGTGTGTGTTTGTTTTGCCTCTGTAGATGGGGACCAACAGCACTTTCAGAGGTGCTTGTAAAACAGGTGTGGAAGTGCTTTTAGACCCCAGTATGCTGACGGGTATTAGTGGCTTTATGCCAAGGGCTTCCAAGTAGCTTGTGGACTACCTGGAAATCATTATGACGGTACTACATGGTGCTGTGCTTTTGCTTCTTATAGGGATTATTTACATTTGAAAAAGTATTGAATCCTTTGCCTTCCCAGAGTGGTCAGGGACCAAAAAATTCTCACAGTATTGGTTCATAGCATTTGCTTCCTGATTCTTTTCCTTTGTAGAGCAAAATACTATCTGTAGGGATATAGGCTATATAGTGAATACATGTATATATATGTGTATATATATATATGCACACAGTGGCAGGAACATGTAGAAAGTGTCTTCGGACTTACTCCTGTTTTCTTAGTGAAATAGAAAGCAAGGACATCCACTGTGAATGAGGGGAGGGCAGAGGAGGGAGATTTATATAGACTATATAATATATAGGGAGTATATGGAGTATCGGTAGGAAATTGTTTTCTTTTTAAAAGAATTGGTGGAGGGCCTCCCCGGTGGCGCAGAGGTTGAGCGCTGGGTTGCGAAGCGGCGCTGGTTCGATCGCCGGATGCTCCCTGGCCACAGGAGGAGGGTCCCACATGGCGCGCAGACTTCTCCTGCCGCCCGCTGCTCCCCTCAGCAGTGTACTTCGGTCCTTCTGCCTGCTCTGCTCCCTGCTCTGGCTCTGGTGAATTCTCTCACCCTCCTGCACTCCTGACTGTACCCAGTGCATGTATAAACAAACAAACAAACAAACAAATAAATAAATAAATAAAACATGCCTCCTATAAAAAAATTAAAAAAATAAAAAATAATAATAAAATAAAAGAATTGGTGGATTGTAAAAGGCAGTCTCCCGCCCCGAGGCTTGTTTTTTTTTTTTTTTTTTTTTTAACAAGTTTAGGGTCCATGGGTTCCAGCTCCTTTACTTGAAACTGTCTTAAAACCAGATCTCACAGAGAGCTTAGCCACATTTTGGAGCTGGCAGAACCTGGCTAGAATGACTGTTTCTGAGGAAGGAGCCAGGCAGGTCACTCTTGGTTCTCCTCTGCTTTGCCAGTCCAGGCTGGGTCTCATCACTGCTGCCTGCCCCAAATCAAGCTGGTGTCCTTATGAGCCTAGCCCTGGCTGTCTTACTCTCCCTGGCCCTGACCTAGGAGAGATGCAAATTCTCAGGGCCCTGAGAAATCTGAGTTTTAGGGAAATATTGTGAAGATGTCCTGATAGTTTTGGTTTGGGCAGATTTGGAATGAAAACAAGCCTCAGAGATTTGCTGGGAGGTGTTGCGATTTCTCTCAAATACTGCCACTGTCCAGACTTAAACGGATTTTGAAGAGCATGAGGGAGAGTTGACATTCTGGGGGTGTCTTAGTGGAAGTGAAAATTAACACTGGCTGTACAGTGCTGGACCCCATTGCTGTTACATATTAAACTAAGGTCACTTATGAATTCTGACAGTAATTCAGGAGGAATAATAATATATACTTTGTTATTACAAGAGTATTGTCTTTTCGGCCAAGTAGACTCTCCATGTATTGTTTGGGTAAAAACTGTTAATTGGACCCGGTCTAGAAAAGACACACTTCCATTCCATCTCACTAGCTTGTATTGGGGCGTCAGAAAAGTCATGACATTTTTTCATCGAAAAACATAGAAAACATGAAAAACAAAAAAATGTGTCATGACTTTCCCGACAACCCAATAAGTTGGCTGGGGAGATAAGGTACATACTACCAAAGGTAATTCTGAAAAGCATTGTGGGGGCAGTGGAAAAAACAGACACTAGATCTAATTTTATTAGATCTGTGATCTTAGATAAAAAACATGAGTCTCAGTTCCCTCATTTGCGAAATGGAAATAATGCCACGTACTCTGCAGGGGTGGCTGTAAGAATTTTCACAAAAGATTTTAAAGGTGCATATAGAGCCCCAAGGACGTTGCCTGAAACATAAGGAATATACAAGCTATAGTAGCTACTGGTAGTGCAGGTAATGCAAAGCACAGCAGTCATACAGCATGAATATGTTAGAACCTAGTCCAGTGATGTTGCCATTTCTTTAGACATGTTTTTGATGTTCCTTTCTACTTGGTGGCAGATTTTTGCCTTTTAAGGCTGGATTTGATTTTTGAAAATGGCCAAAAAACAGAGTCAGATGTAGGGATAGATATTTTTGTTGGTGGTGGTGTTGGGGCGGCCTCAGAAATGAGCTGTGACCATCATAATAATATTTGTGGATCTGTATGCAAAATTGGATTTAGAGGCAGTTCCAAAAGCGTTGTCCCCACTTTCTGAGCAGTGAGATTATCACTGGGCATATGTAATTTCTGCAGGTGAACCTAGTCTGTACTGCTGTGTGCTGAAAGGAGGAGGTGGGGACTTTAGTCTGTACTGCTGCGTGCTGGAGTGACACAGCCTGTTGATGCCGTGGAAGATCAGAGGAGGGGGTCGGAATAGAATGGATTGCTTTGGGAACACCTTGAGAATATGGGGCTTGAATTGAACCTTAAGGGTAGGTATGATTTGTAGAAGGGAGGAGTAATGCGAAGGAGTCATGAGAGCAGAGCATGAGTGAATACTGTTTATTCAGCAAATGTTGATTAGTACTCACTGTGTGCTGGGCTTTTGACTGAGCTTGGAAACACAGATGAGTGGACACTGCTCTGACTTGAGGGATTATATAGTATCCTTGGGGGAGGCACAGATAATGAGTACATCCACTGCAGTATGGAGGAGTGCTGGTGAGATTCCGAGTGACTGTGGAAGTACAGAAGAGGAGTACCTAACCTAGCCTGGCAATTACTAGAAGGAGGAGAGATGTGGTAGGTTACTGTGTAAGAAAGGATAATTGGGGAACACCTGATCAGGATGGAAGCTTGGATTTAAAACTTTATGATGTAGAAAATGCAAAACTCTTGGGGGAAAATTTGAGCAAAATTTTGGAGCAGGGCCTCCCTGGTGGCGCAGGGGGTTGAGCACCACACTATGAAACAGTCCACAGCCTCTGCAGCACGAGTTTGATCCCCGGCCAGGGAGAAACCCACATGGTGCAGCAGACTCTCCTGACTCGCCCGCTGCTCCCCTCAATAGTGTATTTCAGTCAGTCTGCCTGTTCTGTTCCCCACTCTGTCTCTGGTGGACCTCTTATCCCCCGCATCTCTGGCCTGTACCCCAGTTCTTGTATGCATAAATAAATAAATCTTTAAAAAAAAATTTTTTTTGGAGCAATTAGTAGGTTGGTGGTATGCAGAATTATTTGGAGGGCTGGGCCTCCCCTGGGGGCGCAGCGGTTGAGGCCTGGGCTGCGAGGCTGCCCGCAGCATCTGCAGCGCCAGTTCATTCCCCAGCCGCTGGTGAGGGTCCCACAAAGAAAAAGAAAAAAAAATTATTATTTGGAGGGCTAAGAGACTAGAAACAAGGAAAAATTTGAGAGGCAGTTTGCAGTAGAATGGGCTAAATATGAGAAAGTCCTGAATTAGAATTGTGGAGGAAGGCTTGGAAAAGCAGGAAAAAAGTCATGGAGACTAGATAAGGTTTTTAACTGACTTGCCATAGGAAATGAAAAAGGGTCATACATTTATTCCAGACCTTGGTATGTGGAAGAATGATGATGAGATAGGCGGAGAGGGTGCATGGGATATTTGACAGACCACCAGTGGCTCATAGAGCCTGGTCCTTGAGGAAAGCACCAGGGCACTCTTAGCACATGTCTCTCAAATCCCTCTCCCCAGGCCACCTCTGCAGAAAGCTAACTGCTTTGGATTTTAATTGCAGCTCCTCCTCCCCCACCACCTATGATCCGAAATGGTGCCAGGGATGCGCCCCCTCCCCCCCCACCATACCGAATGCATGGGTCGGAACCCCTGAGCCGAGGAAAGCCCCCACCTCCTCCTTCCAGGACGCCAGCTGGGCCACCCCCTCCTCCCCCACCTCCCTTGAGGAATGGTCACAGAGATTCCATCACCACTGTCCGATCCTTCTTGGGTGAGTAGCTGCTTGGGTGAGTAGCTGTTTTAGTCTCAGTCCCTGTGCTATTGGTAGGTGGCTGCTGTAGAGTGGAATAGTTACTCAGTGCCCATTGTTCACAGCAGCTTGTCTCTTGACTGTACCTCAGACATCTAGGCCCTGTCCATTGGCACACCTTTATGAGAATTCTAGGCAGGTTTGCTTTGAAAGAGATTGAAGTCAAATCAGCAGGTATCATGCCAATTCTGAAGCAGCTTTCAGCTTTCCAAGGGTCATTATTGTGGTGAATTTTTCGATGAGAGACTCTTCTCCTCAGGATTATTCACACAGGGATTACGTGTCTTCCTTGGAGCTTCCAGAAAACTCCTTTCTGGCCTTTTAAAAACAAAACAAAACAGGGCCTCCCTGGTGGTGCAAGGGGTTAAGGTGCAACCTATGATGCTATCCGCAGCCATTGCAGCATGAGTTTGATCCCCAGCCAGGGAGATACCCACATGGCACAACAGACCTCTCCTGCCTTGCCCACTGCTCCCCTCAGCAGTGTATTTCAGTCAGTCTGCCTGTTCTGTTCCCCACTCTGTCTCTGGTGAATCCTCTCACCCTCCCCCCCCACACCTCTGGCCTGTACCCCAGTTCTTGTATGCATAAATAAATAAATCTTTAAACAAAACAAGACTTTGTGTTCACAACATTTATCTACTAATCCAAAGCCACTAACTAGCTGTTACTTTGAAGAAGCCATGTCACTCCTCTGGGCCTCACTTCCCTTTTCTGTGAAACCAGGCAGTTGACTACATAAGGATAGTGTCATATTAAGTTTGACAGACTTAGAAATAAATTGTAGGCCCCACTTAAGAGATTCTGTTTTATCAGGTTTAGGATAGAGCCCCAAGCAAAGGTTGTCCAGAGGGTATTATGATACCCTCTGTTGAGGATCTCTGGAAAGATATGTACAGTCCCTTTCAGCCCCAATGCTCCAGATTCTTTATAAGTTGACTCTTCTCTACCCTTGTTCCAGTCTGTTCCTGTTAGGTGGACCAAAGTTTTTGCTTTGAAGATACATGCTTTGAAATGCAATCAAGCCATAGCCATAGAAAATTTGAGTCTTCTCACAGAGGGGCCTGCAAAGTGGGAGCAGGAGCCCTAAAAGGGCTGTCCCGACGGCTGCAGAGCTAAGTAAGGGCAGCCTGGCCGGCAGCTGTTCCCGTTCTAGGTTAGAGGTTAGTTTCTGCCAATTTGTGGATTCAATTCAGTTGGTTCCCCTGGTGACAGTCTCCAAGATGGCTGTGTGATTTAAAAACACAGAACTGTGTTTCTTCGGCTCTCATGCTAACTGCTGGGCTCCTTTTTTGTTATGTGGCTGATTTTTGGTAGAAAGATATAAACAATCAGTTCAGAGACTAGTTTCTTAATGTACAGCGTCTTGGAGCCCAAGGCACAGGGTGCCCTTGCTGTCCTCCCGACCCTGGGCTTGCTGGGCAGGGCATGTGGGCCCTTACAGGGCATCAGAATGCGCAGAAAACTGCCAGGGGGCAGATCAGAAGGGCTGCAGGGATGTGTGGGTGCAGAAGGAAGTGTGATATGAATAATACTCTGTTCCTTTCACAGATGATTTTGAGTCAAAGTATTCTTTCCATCCAGTAGAAGACTTTCCTGCTCCCGAAGAATATAAACACTTTCAGAGAATATACCCCAGCAAAACAAACCGAGGTGAGAGGAGTAATGAAAGTTTTCACCATTGCACAGGCTGTAGAATGGGTGTGCTTTTCTTAGGTTAAAATTTGCTTCTCATCTTCATTTCTTGAACATCAGTAATAAAACCTAGTCCCCAGATTTTAATGGTTAGTTTAAAGAGCCCGTTTCTCATTTCAGCAATATTTGGGTTATTCAGGGTCTGGTAGGTGAGCTTGCATCTATGGTTTTTATTTTATTTTTATTTGTTTCAGCTGCTCGTGGTGTCCCACCTCTGCCACCCATTCTCAGGTGAAGCCTGGCGTGGTCCTGTTCCTCAGGAAAAAGACGGACCCTCTCCTCCTCTCAGACGGCCCTTCCCATTCCCTTGAAACCTGCATGAGAGCTCCTAACGTGTTTCTCCAGCGCAGTCAACCTCTAGACTCCAAGCGTCCTCCCAGCTCACCTCCATCTATGCATATCATCTGTGGACTTGGTGATCGGACTCTTTCTATTGACAGTAGGGTGTCAAACCCTGCACCATCCCTTCTTAGCCATCCCTGCTAGCCAGATGAGGAAAAAGCTTCCATGTCTCCTGCTTTCCTCTTGGGGAAAGGTGCCTTGTTGAGATGGATTAACTCGTCGCTGGGGCAGGGTGGGGAATGGTACTCCCCCCTCCTCCCACACGCTGTGGGGGCAAGCTTGGTGGAGATGCTATAGTTCATCATTCAGAAGGCTGGCTTGGCCAGGACTTCTGGGGGATGGGCATTTTAGTGAAACAGGAAAAGAATTTGCAGAGAAGTGATCTGTTTTAAAGGTCAGGTTTGGGAAAAGGGCAAGGAAATGGGTCTGCTTTATCATTAGGGATATTCTGGTTTTATTTTCATCCCATTCCACATTCCCACCCCAGGGATAAGTTGGATTTAAACACTAAATACTAATCAGTTGAACTAAACTTTAATAAAAGGGGGAGTAACATAATCTCTTTAATTAAAAGAGGAGATAAAATAATGTGGGGGTCTTTTTAGAGCTAGTTCGTTCCTCTGCAGCAAAGGGACCATGAGCCATTTGAGTCCTCTGGGACTCCCTGTTCCATTTCCCCAGGTGCTGAGGTGGAGGGATGCTTCCCCTCACCACCCAGCCCCTCAAGAGAAAAGTCACTTTCATTCATTCCAGATTCACACATCCCAGTCACCTCCAGTGCAGGATAGGGTCTGGGTCTGACCTTAACCTTGACCTTGAGTCTGCCTCAGTCTTTTCTGACTGTCCTGAAAGGCTACTGACCCCTTCAGTCCTGTGTGGAAACTTTAGCCCCTGCTGGGAGCTCCAGGATAACAAGTAAGGGAAGGGTGAAGCCCCTTGTGGAAGTGACCAGCTCTGTGGGCCACAAAAGACTCAGACCTGCTCGTTCTGAGGTTCACAGCCCATCTGACTGAGCAGGCTCTTTCTCTTCCTTTCGCCACCATCCTTGCCTTCCCAAGATTGTAGGGTTAACATGGCCGAGTAGAGAAGGGCGAGGAGGCTTATGTGGGTAGTGAAAGATTCCTCTGTGCACAGACTTCAGTGAGGTGTGCCTCAGGCCACTCGCTCTTCCCTGGCAGCCAGCAATATGCTGTTTCTTCGTCTTTCAGGTCCCAGTTAAAGAGCACAGAGAAAGTAGAGGTTCCCAGTCTAGATAGGAGCTAGGGACTTCCCCTTCTCCGACAGCAGGATGGGTCACCCAGACTCCACACCCAAGTGGTCTGATTTTCTACTGCTCCTGCCAAGTTGCAGAGCCTGCTCAAAACTTGGAGTGAGATCAGGGAGGCTGCGGCTGTTCCTTGAAATGGATGGGGGAAGACAGTTGAAACTTTTCATCAGATCCGTGACAAGCTGAAATCACCCATGTGGGGACTTCACAGTCTATTGGATCTCAGACTAAGGATCTGAGTGTATAGCCAGATGAAGCCCGTCTTCCCAGTGCTAGATGAGAGAGGACTTTTTGTGGGTTCCTTATGTGGAGGCTGCTACCCTTTGCCACTCCCTGGACCATTGACAAGCTTGATTGGGTCAGTCACCAAACTTACTCTAATCATTCTTACTTTCTGATCTGTTAGAAGTGACCAGAGCTGAGGCAGGGGATGCTAGTGAAGGGAAAAGGAGAGAGGACAAGAGTTGATACTACAGCAGCATTCCAGGGTAGATGCTGACCGGTTACTGAACTTGGACTGTGAAGTCTTCCCATTTGTTTTTGAAATGGGAGTTGATGCCTTTTGTACAATGTTATCAGTGTATTTTTTTTCCCTTTTACTCAAACTTGAGCATCAAAATTAGTATTACAAGTAACAGCCAAATCCCAACTTTTCATTGGGGCTGAGAACCTCCTCTCCTGACCTGCTGCCCCCCATATCCCCCAGCATTTGGATTATGTCACATGGATGTTGATTGTGTTTTCATTTTCTTGGCCCCATGAAAGCAGGCCGAGGCCTAGATCTAATCAGCTGTGTTTTCTTCAGAGCATGTTGATGGCACAGCACCTTTTTAAATGTCTCTGCCTTATACATCACTTAGTCCCTCTGTTAATAACAAATTTATTATCATGTATATTTACTGTTGAAAAAATGGGAATGTGATCCTTATAGTAATTGATCTATTTTGTATGTTGTAAAAAGCTTGTAATATAGATTTAAGGTGGGCTGGCTGCAGGAGCACTAAAACTTCTCACCTTTTAAACTGCTCTCTTTATCTGCTGTGGGAATGTCGTCTCTTCAGTGGGAGACTGGGTGGCCTCATGTTGAGGCTATTGCCCAGTCCCCTGAACCCTCTTACCTTCTCCCAAAAGGAAGAGACACTGCCCAGCAAGCACCAGGAAGCTGTGTGAAAAGCCCTTGTGTGGGGTTGGTTTTATGATGTTCTTCCCTAGTGGGAAAAACTTATTAGATGTTTCTTAGCACCCTTTCTGGGAAGCAGGGCAGTGGCCTCCAAACTTTTAAACAATCTAGATGTCCCACTTCCCCCTGCTCTGTGGTCAACCAGCCTGTATCAAAGCACTTTGCTATTCCAGGTGTGGTTCTCTCTGTTGTGGGAGTTTCCTCCAGCTGCAGAGCCCCATTTTCACAACCAGGGCCTGCAGAGCACGAGCGCCTTGGGCTGGCCCCTGGATGGAGGTGAGGCTGCTGTTTGTAGGAGTTCATCGCAGTCCCCCAGGCTGGCAAAGGCAAGGAGACTAGCTACTGGCTCCTGCACTGGGGCATCCTCCCTCCCCAGGGCTTCCCAACTTGAAACTTAGATTTACCTCCAGGGAGAGGTGAGAAAAAATTGTAAATAGACTTGCTACAGAGCAACTCAGGGTTGGGGTGTGTTTTAATTCTCCTGATCACTTGAAATAATCTGTAGGTGAGTGCTCATGGGAGTTGGGGAGAAGTATGACTCCAGGGTCCTTCCCTTCTGCAAAGTTCTGGGGGCGGAGTACAGGGCATGTGAGGCCCTTTGACGGCACTACACTGAGCTGTCTGTCCTGGAAACCCAACGGCTGATCAACTGCAAATCAGATTCTTCACATTCCAAGTCATCATCTGTCTCTTTTGAATCTCAGTCCTTGGCTGTGAGGTCAAGGTGGCTGTCTGTAAGCCACCCTAATTGAGGGAATGGGAGGCATCGCAACTCTACCTTCAAGATTCATCTCTTAACAGTAAAATGAAAAAAATCACAGCCACCTTCAAAATACATACAACAAAAAAGGATCACTGTTTAACTGAAGGAAGGGTTTGGTTCCATTCAACTCCACGGTCATTGTGCCTTTACTTGTGTTAGATTTCTGTGCTTTCTCCCTCTCTCCCTCTTTGAAGCAATTAAAATCTTCCTTGATAACTGCTGTTTCCTTCTTTTCTCCTCTCGTTTCTAATAACTTAGTGTGTTCCCGCTCTAGTTGTCTTAAATCTCATTCCACTGGCAGTCAAGGGGCCTAGCCTTCTTTTCTCTGACCTTTGTCCTTTCCTGTGACGACCAGCATGGAAGTCATAATTAACACTGAATAAAAGACTAGAATGACAGGTGTGCAGAGAGAGAAAATGTGTGTGTATGTGTGTGTGAGTGTGTGAATATGCGTGTGAGTGCATGCATCTTTGCATGTGGATTAGTTTCTTTAAAAAATAATTTATTGTATGATTTATTTTGAAGTTATATTCTGAATACAGTGCCCCCTCTCCCAATTAGCATTGATTCTCCTCCCACCCACACGCCCACTGTATGATTTGGTCTCAGGTTGGATTCTTTGGTACAGTTCTTCTGGATGCCATGCAGTTTAATTAAACCTTGCTTAAAAACAAAAACAAAAAACTGAAAATTGTGTGCTCTTGTCTGGAATTCCGCTTCAAGTGGTGGTGTAGAGAGGGGAGAACATGTGTTGCCCCAGGTTGGTTTAGTGGTTTGACTCCAGGCCTCTGAGCAAGTGGAGGCCCTGGCGTGGGTGAAGCATCTGCCGCTTCCCAGGGATTTTATCTTCTCTCCTCTTGCTTTGGTTTGAAAATCACAGTGGTGTTTAGCCACGCCAACGGACTGGTTCTGATGGAGTTGATCATTTGTTTTATATCTGCCTCCTAACCCATGATTACCCATGATTTTGGGAACCCAGGAGACCCTCTGGCCTTGTGTCCCTTCCTTATCTCCCCTGTGAGTCTGTGGGCCTGTGTTGCGTGGCAGATTCTCAGTTGCAGAGTGGAAGAAAAGGTGGGGGCGGAGCGAGCACACTGTAGCTATTTTTAGGTGAGTATTGCCTGTTTCCCTGCTTTTTAGGTTGAAATCTTAACTGGTTTTCTTGAACTTTGACTTTAGGTGTAGAAATTGAACCACACATCCCTCTGTTCGCCGTGGTCAGCTGACATAATCACCACTGAGACTTAATGAGCTTAACTTGCACTTTCATCACTAGCAAAGGTCTTGAAATTATTTCCATACTGATTCATAATCGGTGTGTGTGAATCACTCTCACATAATTTAGATATAAAAACCTATGGGAGGAAGGAGGGGGAAGGCCTCCTTTCATTTTCATCCATATTTGCCAGATTGGCTGAATTCCTAATGATTTGACCCATTGTTGTTATTAATATGATTAATAAACTATTTATTGATTTCATTGTTCCTCCTGTGATTTTAAATAGCCCTCAAATGGAACTTGCCTAAATGGCCTTCAACTTCTTAACCTGTCTGCTCTCTGTTCTGCCCAGGAGGAGTTGCTAGTCTGTCTGTTTCCCACATGATGCTGTGCGTGAGCTGACAGGTGATAAGAACTCTAGGTTACCCATTCTAATGACTACCTGACTACCTTGCCCCATGCAGCCACAACTGTGCAGCTCACTGTAAGAAAGCTGCACATCTCTGACTTCCAAAGGCTGCAGACAGAAGTAAGAGAACTAAAATGTCCACTCAGGGGCCTCCCTGGGGGCGCAAGAGGTTAAGACACAACCTATGAAGCTCTCCGCAGCCACTGCAGCAGGAGTTTGATCCTAGCCAGGAGCTGACACACATGGCACTGCAGACCTCTCCTGTCTTGCCCGCTGCTCCCCTCAGCAGTGTATTCCAGTCAATCTGCCTGTTCTGTTCCCTACTCTGTCTCTGGTGAATTCTCTCACCCCCCACACCTCAGGCCAGTACCCCAGTTATTGTATGCACAAATAAATAAATCTTTAAAAAAAAATAAATGTCCACTCAGGATTAACCACCCCATTGGATAATGGGATGAATGCTTAGCCTTTGACATCACTGGAGCCCAGTCTGGATCATTTTTGCACATAATTGAGTTCATACTCCAAGCCTAGGTTTAGGGTGGGAGAGCTAAAGGACCATACTTTATCAGAACACAAAAACCGTTCCTGCAAAAGGCAGATATCCACTTGACAGAAATGTCCTTCCCATTTATTCAGCAAGCATTTATTGCATACTTTGTGCCAAACACCTACAGTATGAAGGTGAGTAGGACATGGTCTTTGCCTCAAGGGGAGCTCAGAGTCTAGTAGAAGACTTCAGGAAAGCTACAAGGAGAAATTGTACAGGGCATTAAAAGGTTTTATGCTAATAGCCAGGGAAGGAGAAGGGTGAGCTAGCTGCATTGCAGACAGGGACAGCAAAGCTACAGGCACAGAAGAGGAAGATGGTGTGGTGGTTACTTGAGTATTGAAAAGGGAGAGCTTTAGAGGGTGCCCTTTTAGAGACTTTTCAATCTAGCAATTCTCTGCTGCACAGTGACCTTTTAACATTTTCTGGGACCAGTGCTGTATTTCCTGGTGTCCTCAAAAATTCTAGTGTACATAGCTTCCTCTTTCCCCTAAAAGTGGGGTAGGTGATTCATTATCCCTGAAAGTGGCTGGACATGCTACCATTTGGGGTTGTTAAGGACAATTTTCAGGTGCCTAGGTTACAAAAAAAATATATGAACAGCTAAGACTGCTTCCTAGGTTCTGCCCTCTTAAGAGATCAGAAATAGCAAGCAGTCAAAAAGCCTCCATTCTGTAAGCCCTTTCCCATTCATGGTAGCCTACTCTCTTCACTCTTGCAGTTTTCAGCACCCTAGAAAGCCTTCTAAAATATTCTTCATCACTCCCTCTCTAGAAGGCACTTCAGAACTTACAGGTGTCTAATCTTCCCCCTTGTTTAAGTGCTTGCATTTATCAGATTTCCTGAGTTTAAATTCTAGTTTGTACACTCTTTTTTTTTAACATTTTATATAATTTTTACATCATTTTTCATTTTTGCACAATGTATGCATTTTCATTTTGGTTATATTCCCCAGAGTTTGTACACTCTTACAGTTGTGTGACTTGAGCAAATTTACTGAACCTCTTCTATTTCAATTTCCTTACTTGTAAAATGGAACTTCATAGGGTGAAGTTTCCCTTATGAGAATAAGGTGCTACAGGTTAAATACTTGAGCTCAGTCACTGGCATACAAGCTCTCAGTAATTACTCATCTCCTATATGAACTTACTATAATGAACTGATGGCTATAATATTGTTTTCCTATTTCTTGACTTTATTGCTCTATTTCATTTTATGTTGAAGGATAAACATTGTCACCTAGGATTGGTTGTTGGCTTTCAAAAGGACATGAGGTTTAGCTATCTTATTAGTTTTGGAAACTGGCTTGTAAATTACTGCTCTAATTTATATTTTTCATTAAATGCTCAGCTTGCCTCTTCTACAGTTGTCTGCTGGCCCTGAAACCCTAGTGTTCAGTCATAAAAAAAAAAATTAAGGGACCATAATTTTCTCCACTGTCCATATTAATGGGATGATAAAAAGGTGCACAGAATGTAATGTTTACCTTTAACAAAATAAAAGCAAACACCTGTCCCCTTTTCTCACCTTTGAAAAAAATCAGGGAGACACTGTAGTAATGCGGTGCATTTGTTTATTTATGTGTTGAGTTTTACCAAAACATTTTTTTTTTTTTGGAGGGAGGGGAAAATTGGGTATCAGGAAATTTGGGTCCTGGCTCATTCACTGCCACCAACATGCTGTGACTTCTAATTAAATCTCTGCACACTTGCTTTGTGCCTTGCAGGGTTTAGAATGGGAGAGGTAAACAAAGCTGCATCATGCCTGGCGCTCAGAACCGCTCGACGCCTACCAATAAACGGCAGGAATTATGTCAGAGCTCTCTGGGTTTGAGTGGCAGCGAGGAAGAACTAGTACAACTGAACACCTCCCATTGAAAGACTAACGCGGAAATACCGAAGGGTGTTTAGCAAAGACTACATCTCCCGCGGGGCTTTGCGGTGTGACCGTCTCGCCTTACCCAGTCTCCCCTGCCGCAACCACCCGGGTCTTTCCGGGGCCCCGGATGTAGACGCCTGCACGGCTTAGTGGGCGTGGCCTCACAGAGGCGCCGAGACCTAGGATTCTTATTGGTTGTGGGTCTCCCAGCCTGATTGGACACGAACAAAGGGGCGGTGGTCACGGAGCGCGGCGCTCTGGTGACAGCCAATCAGAAATCTGGCTGCGCTTTGGCGGGAGGCGGGAAAGCTCCGACTGTGCAGATTTGGCGCGAGCGCTCCTGGGCTTTCCTGCTGCGCCGTGTAGTTGGGAAGCTTGTGGTGGAGAATCCCTGGAGCCGTGTGCGAGATACGCGAAGAAGAGACGGTGCTGAGGTGACGCGGCCTGTGAGTTGGGAAGGAGAGTTAGCCCTGGGAGGCGGAGGAGTCGAGGGCGGCTGTGCGAGGACCGCGGGTTTCCGTGAGGCCCGAGCTGGAGGGAGGGGAGCACAGATCAGATCGCGGGGGGGCTGAGGTCCGGGTAAGGGGGGGCATGTGCACCCTCGGAGTAATCTGCCAGTTGTGCGTGAGGTGAAGATGCCGAACGCTATAGGAGGGAGATGTTCGGGTGTGAGGTGAGGGCTCTGTGGAGTGGGGAGTCCGTGCAGGGCGGAGGGGAGACCGAGCGGCCGAGGGAGGGCTTGGGGAGGACTGAATGTAGGAGGTTGCTGGGCTCTGCCCAGACCCTGTGCCTGGAGTGAAAGTGTCAGACGTGCTAAAGAATCAGTTAAGCTAAATCTACTTAGTGGTTCAGAGCTTGGACTCTGAAGCCACAATCCCTGGGGTTATAGCCCCGCTTTGCTGTGGCTTTGGACCTCCCTGCTCCTCAGTTTTCTCATCTCTTAGTTTAGGATAAAGATAGACCTGACCTCTCTGGTAGTACTTAAATGAGCCGGTACTTGAAGGGCTTGTAACAGTGTCTTACACATAGTAGGTAAACAAGTGTTGGCTGTTACTACCCAGTTTTGGATGTGAAGCAGAACTAAAGGCTAACATTTTATTATAACATTGTTTACATATGAAATGAGTGTTTGTCCTCAGTATAAATTCCTTGTTCATTATTTTGCCCTCACTTTTACATATCGACTGACTGTCCTTTTTTTTTTGTATTCAGTTGTGTCTTCATCATGCCTCAAACACGATCCCAATCACAGGCCACAATATGCTTTCCAAAAAGGAAGCTGTCTCGGACGTTGGACAAAGCTAAACACTCCAGTGACACCAAGCTAGAGCTGACAAATGTCCAGGCCATACCCCATACTCCTCGTGTGAAAATTCTGCCTCTCAGCCCCAGAAAACGTTTGGGTAAGCTATCAACTTACCTAAAGTACAACTTTTTGATGAATATCTCGCCCCCTCTCTTTCCTGGGTGATAAGGTACCTAGTCCTTTGAAGCAGCTCTTTAGTTAAAATCACTACCTGCTTTGGTTATTTTCAAAATGATTGCTAAGTGCTTACTGAACTTCAAAGTTAAGCCACTCAGTGAGCTCACTTCCTGAACTACATAGTGGGGCTGATTCTTCAATTCCTTAATACTGAACTTGGTGCTGTCAGTGTCTTGAGTGACCTTGCAGTTAGCCATTAGCAATAGTATTTTGAAATTTGCCTCAATATTTGTGAAACTAAGAGAAACAGGTGACATGCTTGTTTTAGAACAGTGGTTGCTATTTTTTTCTTGTTTTAGAACATCTGTTTTTTTTTTTTTAAGATTTATTTATTCATGCATACAAGAACCGGGGTACAGGCCAGATGTGCAGGAGGGTGAGAGGATTCACCAGAGATAGAGCCGGGAACAGAACAGGCAGACTGACTGAAATACACTGCTAAGGAGAGCAGTGGGCGAGGCAGGAGAGGTCTGCCGTGCCATGTGTGTATCTCTGCGGCAGGCCGGGATCAAACCCGCGCTGCAGAGGCTGTGGACAGCTTCACAGCGCTGCGCTCAACCGCCTGTGCCACCAGGGAGGCCCAAACATCTGTTTTTAATGAGGGGTGATTTGGCAATATCTGGAGACATTTTTAGTTGTCACAACTGAGGGGATCCTGCTGGCATTGTGGGTAAAGGCCCAGGGTGCTGCTAAACTTAATTCTACAATGTACAGGATAGCCCCCACCACGAAGAATTTTTGGTTCAAGATAGCAACAAAGCAAGATTGAGAAACCTTGTTTTAGCACAATCTTAGAAGTTCATCCCACTAAAACACATTTGATTTCTACTAAATATAGTAAGATTCAGTGGTGCCATCTGGTGGCCATTATGTGCTTCTAGATGAGAGGCATTTTAATTTTCGGCGATTCTTACCATAGAAGGTCCCTTTCTTTTTCTTTTTCTTTTTTTTTTTTTTTTTTTTTTTTTGTGGGACTCTCTCCGGTGGCTAGGGAACGAACCCACGCTGCAGAGGCTGTGGGCAGCCTCGCAGCCCAGCACTCAACTGCTGCACAAGGGGAGGCCCAGAAGGTCCCTTCTTTCTAGGGGGAGGCCCAGCTCTTTGCAAATCTTTTTATTATCCACTGCTATTGACGACCATGTTTTAACATGTTTCAGGTGATGACAACCTGTGCAACACTCCCCACTTACCTTCCTGCTCTCCACCAAAGCAAGGAAAGAAAGAGAATGGTCCCCCTCGCTCACATACATCTAAGGGGCGCAGATTGATATTTGACAATCAACTGGCAACTAAATCTCCTAGCAAAAGAGAACAAACCAGAGTTCGCCAAAACAAAATACATACCTCAGCCCAAAAAGGTCAAGAGATTACAACAAATACTGAGCAGAGATGTCCACCAGAGAAGGAATCTACATATGTGAGACTGTTCAAGCAAGAAGGTTTGTTCTTACGTGGCAGCTGTTAGTGCAGCCTTGTAAACAAGACTGGAGGCTCCAAATGTGACCCCATGGGTCTTTCAGTCACCTCTGTTGTGTCTAATTGTCCTTTCATGTCTGGCACAGGCACTTGCTACCAACAAGCAAAGCTGGTCCTGAATACAGCTGTCCCGGATCGGCTGCCTGCCAGGGAAAAGGAGATGAATGTCATCAGGGATTTCCTGAGGGAGCACATCTGTGGGAAGAAAGCTGGAAGTCTTTATCTTTCTGGTGCTCCTGGAACTGGAAAAACTGCCTGCTTAAGCCGAATTCTACAAGACTTCAAGGTAGATTGAGAGTCTGAATTATCATGCTTTTGCTAAAATGATCATTGGTTATTGAGGGTTAAGAAAGAGTAGAAGTATTTGGGAGATTAAAGGTTCCCCCCAAATAAGACATTTTTAGCTTCATTGTCTGAATCTTTCCAGTGAAAATAGAGCTTATTCTCTTATATGTTGTTAACTCCTTACACTTCAGAACCCATCAAATCTTTTTTTTTTTTTTTTCCATAGAAGATCTGGGGAGTGGGCCAATCTTTATCCAAAGCCAAAATAACACCCATGTTTGCATTTTTCTAGAAAGAGCTGAAAGACTTTAAAACTATCATGCTGAATTGCATGTCCTTGAGGAGTGCCCAGGCTGTCTTCCCAGCTATTGCTCAGGAGATTTGTCAGGAAGGAGTATCCAAGCCAGCTGGGAAGGACATGATGAGGAAACTAGAAAACCATATGACTGTGGAGAAGGGCCCCATGATGTGAGTAGCTCTGCTGTGTGTTCTGAAAATCTGCAAGGTCTGTTTCCCACAAAAGACACGTTCTAGTCTCTTGTATTGATCACTTTCTCATCAAAAGCGTATTTCCTGTGTTTGTTCCATGAATGGTAGAAGTATTTATATAAGCCTAAAAGGAAAGAGGAAAGAAAAAATGTATACCTTCTCATTTTATATTGGAAAAAAATGTTTCTAAAGTAACTGCTTGAAAACATTTTTTTTTCTTTTTCCATGATGGTGAGAGTGTTGTTGTAACAGTGACTGGAGATAGGTGAGATCTTCACTCTGTTCTCAGCTATAAGAATGGAATGTGACCTAGAGTCAGCCCAGCTGAAATAAATTGGAGAGTTAAGATGAGCATGGACGGTTAATTATTTCTCTTTATGTGCAGTGTGTTGGTGTTGGATGAGATGGATCAGCTGGACAGCAAAGGGCAGGATGTATTGTACACACTGTTTGAATGGCCATGGCTGAGCAACTCGCGACTGGTGCTCATTGGTTAGTGCTCTGTTGTTAATGCTCCATAGTGGCTCCAAAGAATTTTCTCAATTTCACCTATTGTTTTATCTTAAGCTAGTTTTCTGCTTTCTTAACAAAAGAAAATTTCTATGAACTAGTAATTTTTTTTGGGGGGGTAGAACTGGGGTTTAAGCCAGAGGTGCAGGGTGAGTGAGAAGATTCACCAGAGATAGACAAGCAAATTTACTGAAATATACTGCTAAGGGGAGCAGCCGGTGAGGTCTGCTGCTCTATATGTGGGTTAGCTCCCTGGTGGGGGATCGAACTCAGGCCATAGCTCTGATAACGCTGAGACTTAAGTCCCAGGCCACCAGGGAGGCCAAATAGTAGTAATTTTTAATGTAAGTCATGCCAGTTTTGTTAAATCTGGATAAAAATGACATAATACTGCATTTCAAAGGTAATTGGTGTTTGAAGTTCTGCTTATTAGTGAACAATTCTAAACCTAACTTGAAAAGAGCAGTTATGATGACTGTACATCTTAAATGGTGAGCATTGGGGTGGGGGTGGGGCTGGAGTGCAGCAAATAGAAAGCAGACAGTTAGAATGCTGGATTATAACTGGGAATTTTATTTCACTTTCCAAGGAGTTGGCTTTCCTTTTAGGATGATCAGTGATGATGAGTGTTACTTCTCTCCTCAGGTATTGCTAATACCCTGGATCTCACGGACAGAATTTTGCCAAGGCTTCAAGCTAGAGAAAAATGTAAGCCACAACTATTGAACTTTCCACCATACACCAAAAATCAGATCGCCACTATCTTGCAGGATCGACTAAGTAAGGTGAGTGCCAACCTTTGTGCCACATCATGTGTTCTTAGATCACCTGTCTTGAGGAAACCCAACTATGGTCGTGAAATATTTTGCTTTGATAGCTTTACTAATAGAGTCGGGAGTTCTTATGGGCCATAGTGAGAGCATTTTTTTTTTTTTTCAAGACTTATTTATGCATACAAGAACTGGGGTATAGGCCAGAGGTGTGTGTGGGGGGGGCGGTGGTGAGAGGATTCACTAGAGTCAAGAGTGGGGAGCAGAATAGGCAGATTGACTGAAATACACCCCTGAGGGGAGCAGCAGGTGAGACAGGAGAGGTCTGCTGTACCATGTTGGTAACACCCTGGCCGAGGATCGAACTCGTGCTATAGTGGCTGTGGACAGCTTCATAGGTTGCGTCCTAACTCCCTGCACCACCAGGGAGGCTCCAGTGAGAACATTTTTATATGAATTTCCACCCATGAGTCCATTTATTTGGATGCCTCAGCATTGAAATAAAAATAAGTGTTTGAGGAATCACTCAAATGCTTCTTTAATGGCCTTTAAAAACAGGGCAGGACCTCCCTGGTGGCGCAGGGGTTAAAGACACAGCGCTATCCGCAGCCACTGCAAAACGAGTTTGTTCCCTGGCCAGTGAGGTGACCCACATGGCACAGCAAGACCTCTCCTGTCTCACCCACTTCTCCCTCAGCAGTGTATTTCAGTAGTTCCGCCTGTTCTGCTCCCCACTCTGTCTCTGGTGAATCCTCTCACCCCCACACCTCTGGCCTGCACCCCAGTTCTTGCATGCATAAATAAATCTTCAAAAAAAAAAAATTGGGCACATGAAAAATTTTTCTTTTTCGAAAATGACCAAGTAGATTTAGTTTAGATTATTTTTGCTCATTGAGTTCCAATTGTTTTTTTTCCATTCATGGACCTCTCCCACCTTCTACACTACAAATTGCTTAAATGTGTGACGTTTTCATTTTACTTATGAACAGAAAGAGCATCTCCTAGACCTAACGGGTGACCAATCATGTTTAGGCTTAAGTATGCAAATATTTCTGTCTGAGACTTAAGTGACAGTCCAAACTCATCTTTTTTTTTTTTTACAGTCAAAACTCATCTTTTATTGTCTTCTCTGAAGGTCTCTAGAGATCAGATTCTGGACGATGCTGCGATTCAGTTTTGTGCCCGAAAAGTCTCTGCTGTTTCCGGGGATGTTCGAAAAGCACTAGATATTTGCAGGTGAGTTATGGTACTGTTGCCTGCTTTTATTAAAAAAAAAGAAATGTCATTAATTGTCTCATGTAACTCAAGTGAATGTGGCTTAAGAGGTTCTATCCTGCCACTTTTTATGCTCAGAAAGGAGGACTTGTTTCTCAGTGGGGAGCTCTGCATTTCCACCGTGTTAATGTCTGAAACATTATCAGTCCATTACCTACAGAGGGAGAAACAAATGAGATGTTGCTGGCACTCCCTGTGGTGATTATAGATTGGTTAATTACATTTGTATTAAAAAAGACTCCAGTTTACTTTTCCATTAGCTGGTCTCAAGCAGGTTTATTTATGGACCTGAACCATCTTTGCCTTTAGACTTTTTTTCCCCTTCCTTTGCTTTTGTGAGCACCCCTTCCACCAGTTGGTGGTCCCCCACAGTTGTACTCCAGACCTCTCTTTCTCCCTTCCCATCCCCCTGCCCCTCCTGCTGGGGAAAGCCTCTGTGCTGACTGATGAAATTTCTTCCTTCCCAGTAGGGACACTGGGGCCATTAAAATCGTACTTGCTGTGCTGGCCCGCTGGTCCAGCCTCCCCCTACTGCCATGCAGAAGATCCAGGTCTGGCTTATGGCTTCCTGTGGGCAAAGTACTTTGGAGAGAGCAGTAGGAGAGTAAGCTAGACTATTGCTAGTTGGCATGAGCCTGGATTTAAAAGTTTCCCTAGTCAGCAAACAACTTGGGTGAAGACTGCAGCTATGAGCAATAGTCGAGTAGGCTTCTGTACTCTAGCCTACACAGAGCCTATGTATATATACCCGAGGACTCCTGTTAGGTCTGGTGTGTGCGGGTGGTACTGGCTCTCTTTCGTCAGTCACCCACACTGCATGTCCTCTCTCCTATCCATGACATTTTCTCCTCATCCAAAATGTTATCATTGGCTCAATGTTTAGTGACCTACTTGGCATCTCTAAGAGAAAACCATGTAGCATTGAAATTTCTCAGATTCCTTGGTCCGTGAATTGTTTCAAGGCAATTAAGTCCCCTTTAGCTGAGACATAACCCCATTTTGTTTGGGGGCTTTAAAATTATAAAAACATGTTGTTTTTTGTTAACATGACTGTTTTTGAGCTTGGTGGTTTGGTGTGGAGTTTGGCTTGGCTTGTCTTAGCCTAAATTAATTTTAGAAATATTTTTTTATAGGAGAGCTATTGAAATTGTAGAGTCGGATGTCAAAAGCCAGACTATCCTCAAACCACTGTCTGAATGTAAGTAGTTTATCTCCTTCCTGTCTTCTTTTATAATTGGAAGCTTGGCTTTTCTGAGGGAAAAGGTAGAAGATGAAATGGACATGGTTAAATCCACATTCACCCATTTGTTGTGTGTGTGTGTGTTTTAGGTCACTTTCATTTATTTAATCTTGCCTGCCAGTACAATGGTCCACGTACTGCTAGAAATGAGTTTCCAAGAATATTGTATAAGTGACTGGGACAGAGTGAGTTTTTTCCCAAGCTCTAGGAATGAAAGTGAGAGACAGTAGGTCAGATGAACTTCTCTGGGTGCTTGTGTTGAGTACAGTGTAGGTCTCGATATAGGTGAAAGCAAAGCCTGGTAAATATGAGGGAATCAGGCAGTGGAAGGGTTGAGTTCAGTTTGGGATATCTCATACCTTCAAACAGGTCTCGGAGGGTAGAGGTACCAAGATGATACTGTTACAGCAAACTGCAGAATATCAACAAAAATGACGAAATTAGCTTTCCTTTTGCTTGGTCTTGTTCTCTTATCTCCTGCAGATGTAAAATGACCATGAACTATATACTATAGTATATAGGTAACTATATACCTTGTCAGTGTTTACTGTTCAGTGTTAATCTTAAGAACAAATCAGGACAGTCTGATTTGTTTCCAGCACTATAGTTCCACAGAAAACTTTTTTCATCAACTTGCTGAAAGAAAATAAAAAAAATTTCAGAAGTAGCCAAACTTACTGCTTAGGCTGATGGCAGCTAATATATGCCAATGCATAGATGAGGGGCTGGATTCTCTTCTGTTTTCTAGATTATTCGCTTTTCTCCCCTACATATAACATCTACGCTTGTCAGTGGTCCCTATGAACACCACCAGCACACAAACATAGCTAAAAGACATTGTAAGTTCCTGGCAGAAATGATTTGACTAACCTAATTCCTGTCGGTTGACTTCTGGTATATGTGGGAGTAGCTTTTAATGACTAGAAAGCTATCTGAAGACTGACTTCTACTAAGTACTAGGAGCACAAATTTTTTTTTAAATAGAGGCATGTTTATTTATTTGTTTGTTTGTTTGTTTGCTTTGTTTATACATGCACTGGGTACAGTCAGAAGCGTGGGAGGGTGAGAGAATTCACCAGAGCCAGAGCAGGGAGCAGAGCAGGCAGAAGGACCGAAGTACACTGCTGAGGGGAGCAGCGGGCGGCAGGAGAGATCTGCGCGCCATGTGGGACCCTCCTCCGGTGGCCGGGGAGCAGCCGGGGATCGAACCGGCGCCGCAGAGGCCGCGGGCAGCTTCGCAACCCAGCGCTCAACCGCTGCGCCACCGGGGAGGCCCCATAGGAGCACAATTTTTAATAACTGGCACGAACTGGGTTTTTTGACATGTAGGGATTCCCCAGCATTGAAGCTACTCAAGCAAAAGATGGAAAGATGAGCACTTGCTGGGATTGTTTTAGAGGGGACTGAGCCAGTGGCTAGGGGCCAAACACAGAGCTCGAAATTCCTTTCAGCCTTAATATCCTGTTACTTGACCAGGGATCTCCAGTTCCTCTTTACTGCTGTTGGTCCTTTGCAGCATCCCTTATCTGGTGGTAAAACAGAAGCATGTTGTGGGGCAACTGCACATGGTCTCAGGAAGTAACTTCCAGCAAAGTTTTTTTTTTTTTTTTTAATTCTTCAGGAAGCTGTGGAAGCATTTTATTTATTTATTTTTTAAGATTTATTTTTATTTATTTATACAAGCACTGGGCACAGTCAGAAGCGCAGGAGGGTGAGAGAACTCACCAGAGCCAGAGCGGGGAGCAGAACAGGCAGAAGGACCGAAGTACACTGCTGAGGGGAGCAGCAGGTGGCAGGAGAGGTCTGCGCGCCATGCGGGACCCTCCTCTGGTGGCCGGGGAGTAGTCGGGGATTGAACCGGTGCTGCAGAGGCTGTGGGCAGCTTTGCAACCCAGCGCTCAACTGCTGCGCCACCGGGGAGGCCCTAGCAAAGGTTCTTACAGAGCAAATCCCTCCTCTATCTTGCAATTCATGCATCTGCAAACAATGAGGCTATAGTCCTATGTGGCTTGTTGGCAGTTTCCCAACCTCTGGCCTTTGAGGTGGTGCTGTCTGCTAAGATAGCCCATCATATTTTCTCAGGTGTGGCTCTACTGCAGATCAGCTTGGGCAAGTGGATCAAACCTCAAAGGTCATTTGGGGAGGCTCTTGGGAGGACTGATGTAAGAGTGACTTGACTGTCCACATTAAGCCACTCATTTGATTCAGACTATTAGGTAATTTTGCCAACTTTTTTTCCCCTTTCTTAATTGCCAGACACAGTCATTATCTTGGCTTCCTGGTTCTGTTCTCCTTTACTTTTGAGCTATTAGGAACTTCCAAGAGAATACAGTAGTCTGTCGTGCTTATTTTTTCATGAGCTGCATTTTGTCTTTCTGACACTAAATCACATTCTGTAGGACAGGACAGTTTACCATTCTGCCCAGAAAAAGGGTAACTCTGCTTTCCAAGTAATCTCCCGTTATTTAGGCATCCTTCTGAGGACAGTGTTCTCTCATCTTTTGGTCTCTAGTGACAGACTTAGAAGCTTTGCTTTGCTCACCACACGACTGTGCTTGAATTTCCTGTAGCTAAAACTTGGTATTATCTGTCCTGATATACACTACTTCTAAATTCTAATTAAGCTCAATTTATTTACTTTATAGGTAAATCACCCTCTGAGTCACTGGTTCCCAAGCGGGTTAATCTTGTTCACATATCCCAAGTCATATCAGAAGTTGATGGCAGCAGAATGACTTTGAACCAACAAGGAGCACAAGATTCCTTCCCTCTTCAGCAGAAGATCTTGGTCTGCTCTTTGCTGCTCTTGACCAGGCAGTTGAAAATCAAAGAGGTCCCTCTGGGGAAGGTTAGTTGGGAATCTCAGCAGCTGGCGCCAGGGTGGAGATGAGAATCTGTTTTGCAGAGCAGATATTTTCCAAAAGACCTATTCAGACTCCAGCTGATATGAATTAAAAATGGATTTTAACAGTAAGAATAAATACTGGTACCATATAACAGGCAGCTGACTTTATTTCCCATGGGTTGTGGTTGAGAATTTACCGTTAATCTTTTCCCCTTCATTTCTGCCTCTCTCTATGAAATATATAAAACCCTTTCCTGCATTACAGTGTAGATTTTTGACAGTGTCTACAAAATGTCTGTTCAAGAATTTTATTGACAAGAGAAAGAATTGAGCTATTCAGATAACAGTTTTGCAAAATCAGACTTCACATTTTTTAGACGATTTTAAGGTTAAAAGAGATGGGACTTTTAAGTGACTTTTGTTCTTCCTTGTTTCCTCCAGTTATATGATGCCTATAGTAACGTCTGTCGCAAACAGCAGGTGGCAGCTGTGGACCAGTCGGAGTGTTTGTCACTTTCAGGGCTCTTGGAGGCCAGGGGCATTTTAGGATTAAAGAAAAACAAGGAGACACGCTTCTCAAAGGTACAAATAACTGCTTCTTAGTGACATTGCTTTTGATTGCTCTGTTTTGGAGAACTTATCTTTTACTAAAAATAAAGAATAAAAAAATTAGGTAGGGTTATCTGTGAGAGTGGGACTCGGGTATGAATGAGATATTTGGTCAGGCCGTTAAAAGTGCAGTGTTTAGGGCCTCCCTGGTGGCACAAGGGGTTAAGCACCGCACTATGAAGCAATCCGCAGCCTCTGTAGCACGAGTTCGATCCCTGGCCAGCCAGAGCGCAGCAGACCTCTCCTGTCTTGCCCACTGCTCCCCTCAGCAGTGTATTTCGGTCCATCTACCTGTTCTGCCCCCCGCTCTGTCTGGTGAATCCTCTCACCCCCGACATCTCTGCCCTGTACTCCAGCTCTTGTAGGCATAAATAAATAAATCTTTTTTAAAGATTCTTTTTTAAAAATATTTATTTGCTTTGCCATGTGGGTTTCTCTCTAGCCTGCTGGGGATTGAACTTGTGCTGCAGAGGCTGCGGATTGCTTCATTGTGCGATGCTTAACCCCTCGTGCCACCTGGGAGGCCCAAATAAATAAATCTTAAAAAAAAAAAAAGAAAAGAAAAAGAAAGTGCAGTGTTCAGCTTGCCTCTTGTGAGAAAGGTGTGACATGGTAGAAGTTTGTGTAATAAAAACTTTGCTTTTCTGAGTTGTCCACCATGAAATGTTCTTTTCTCTTTTTTTCCAGGTGTCCTTGAAGATTGAAGAGGAGGAAATAGAGCATGCTCTGAAAGACAGAGCTTTAATTGGAAATATCTTAGCCTCTGGATTACCTTAAATTCTTTTATTTTATACTAATCCATCTGAAAGTATCCAGCTGACATTTAGAGAGCTGTGGAGTCTCCATTTTAGTGTGTTATTATACACTGAGGTCTGAAAACAAGTAAGACCTTTTTTACTTGAAACTGATCAGTCTTAATCTATCAATTTATGAATATTAGCACAAAATAATATCTTTGGGTCTTAATTGTTTTTACACATTAAAAATGACCAAGTAGACCCTTTTTAATTATGTTCACTACCTCTACCACTTGTGTGTCTGTAAGCAATATGCTTCTAAGTGTATGTGCATATATTCACTTCTTTGTTTCCTCAAACCATTGGTATTTTTTTAAGAACTTTGGGACTAGAGGAAGAAGAATGAAAAAGGATAATCCAGGAAAATAAACAAGTCCACATGGAGACTTGGAGGACACTTTAATCAGAAAAATTTCTTTTTGGAGTATACCGTGTTCATATTGCAGATACTTCCACATTGTGACATTTTAAAGACTCATTGAGTTTCTTGGGCATTCCCAAGGCCATGGGGGTGGTAAGGAGAATGTAACTACAGATTGTGAACATATTTATTTTCATGTGGCATTCTTTGTTTTTTTAAGCGTTTCAAGAGCGCAAAAGTTTTCAGAAGGCAATGTGAAAATCCCTCCCCGAACTGTCCCCATAGTCTCAGCTGTCTTCAGATAAAGCCGCTTGTTTCAAGGTGCCTTAGTCCGGGGTTGTGTTTTCATCTGAACCTCATGTTTTTCTACTCTTGTTAGATAAATTAATCCATATGGTTTACTCAAGTCCCTGTGTCTGTGTTTTGTTGCCAGTAGCATTAAATGGCAATTTGTGATGGGGACACCAGAGGGCACCATTATAACACTCACTACCCTGAAAGGGCAGGGGTGGGGCTGGGGTAGTTTTGAGCGAAGGTGGGAAAAAAAAAAACCAAGTTTTGGAGACTGCTATACTTTCATAATTTGAGTAAATGTTTGGAATGCCAACCATGTGTGATACCATTGGCTGGTGCCAAGTCTGCACTTTTCCTGAGCTCTTTTGCCACCTCCTCCTGCCTCGAACATGGACTTGAGTTTGGGAACTTGATATGTGTACAAAAGATCTGCTGGCCACCGGTTCATTCATGCTGCCCCCTGTCTCCTTGCAATGTGATCTGGCGTTCAGCAGGTGATACGGGATAGAAAGGCGCACCTAGAGCCCTCTGAAATGAACACGATCCGCCAGTGTGTACAGCAGAGCAGAGCCCATGGACGGAGTCTGAACGTCTCACCCTTACATTCCTTTATTAGAGCATCCATTCCCTCCGAGGGTCTGCGAGTGAACATGGTCCTATACCCACTAGGAGCTTGGGAAGGGGGGCTTTAAGGGGTTAATAAGTATAATTGCAAAGATTGTCCGAAGGCTGATGGAAAGCAGAGACTGAATGGGATTGAGAACAGATGCGAGGCTTGATTTAAATTACATTTTATTGGATGCTGCAGCCTTAAGAGACGTGACTGCTTTACAGTTTGTTTCCACACTGTGGGCAGCTGCTGTCTGTTCTGTGTCCACAGTAGGATCCTGCCCAAAAAAGAACGGCCTCCCCACCTCATTGTGTTTGAGGCTTGGCGCCTTCCTCGTAGCTGTGGGGCTTGAGTCAAGAACACGGCTTGACTCGCAGTGGGGCTGCCATGTAGCCTCCGTGGCCCTGAGCCAAGATCACGTTTGCAGATTCAAAGGGGCCAAGTTTCTTTCCCCTCTACCTCCTTTTCTCTCCTCTTCCCTTGGTATTTGGAAATGGGGTTTTCTGTGCACTGGTTTGTTAAGACTCTTTCCTTCAGTTCTCCCCCCACTGTCGATTTCTAGGTCATTGCTGCTCTTAAGACTTCAGCAATTGGAACGGGGTTGGTTCTGTCAATGATGCATGAAGCCGACTTAGAGTCCCTGCTTGGCTTCCGCTGCCCTTGTGGGAGCAGAAGCTGATGTGTGTTTGTCAGTGAAGTCTTCAGTGTAATTCAGACAGCCAGGAAGCAGACTGAGGGAAAGAAGTTCCTTGCTGGCTTTTCTCACCGAAGCTGAGACCTTCGGGAAGGTGGTGACAGATGTAGTGGGACAGGATGGGCTCGTGGTTACTGGTTTTTGCTGGGATCATAGACTACCTCACACACAAATGGCAGACATGATGACCTACATTCTTCTTGAAGGTGGTGGGGTATGCGTCTATATTCTGCTTTATTTACATCCTTCAAAGAAGCAGATTAAGCTTCCATACAGCGTTGGTGGGTATTGCCATGGAAAGAACAGAGACAATAAAGTTGGTGTGAGTTTCAACCCCAGAACTGCCGCTGACATTTCTGGCTCAATGAAGACTTGCCTTGTGGCTAGATAACTGGCAAGAGTGTGTGAGGTCCAAGCTACCCAGAGATCAAAAAAAAGTTGGCAGAGCCCTATTCTCTACCCCCACCCCACCCCTTGCTCCCTGCTTTTAGTCAATGCTCTTTTTAAATAGTTTTTTTTTTTTTTTTTTTTATAGAGGCATGCTTTATTTATTTGTTTGCTGGTTTCTTTGTTTGTTTTGTTTATACATGCACTGGGTACAGTCAGAGGCGCGGGAGGGCGAGAGAATTCACCAGAGCCAGAGCGGGGAGCAGAGCAGGCAGAAGGACCGAAGTACACTGCTGAGGGGAGCAGCGGGCGGCAGGAGAGGTCTGCGCGCCATGTGGGACCCTCCTCCGGTGGCCGGGGAGCAGCCGGGGATCGAACCGGCGCCGCAGAGGCCGCGCGCAGCTTCGCAACCCAGCGCTCAACCGCTGCGCCACCGGGGAGGCCCCAGTCAATGCTCTTTTAAGATACACCAATAAAAACTGGAAAGTGGGAATCAGATAGGGCTTGGGGTTTAAAAAAGTATGGAGGGGAGTTACCTTGACTCCTGAAGGAGGCCCAGTGAGAGAGCCAAGGTTGAGATTTTATTTAACTTGTATGCCTCCCTCCCCAGCACTTTGCCCAGTGCCACTATCTGGGAGGGATTCAATAAACAATTGTTGAATGAACAGAAAAGTGAACAAGTAAAATGCCACCCTTCTTCCCTCCAAGCCCGGGACTGCTCTAATCTGAGGTAAGCATGCGTGCCTCGCACTGAGGTGGAGCAGGCCCTGTCAGCAAGGTGCCCCATCTCACAGCGTCTGACTTGCCAATTGTGGATCATTCATTGGCCTCACCTCTTCTGTTCCAGTCGCTCCCTCTGATGTATTTTGCCTGGGGCAACTTCCAGGCTGCTTCCAGGATGCCTGGGCTTTGGGGAAAGTCCTGCCCACTGGCTGGGAAGAGGGATGCCTGTCTAGATGTTCCCTAGGACCCCTGGAGACTGGCCGGAAGCTGTACCTCTAGTTGGCAAGGGATGAGGTAGGAACCCACCTTTGATGTCCCACTTCAACTTCTGGGGAAAGTTGTTAGCTCAGGTTCCTCCTGAAAAGGTGAGGTGCCCTCTAAGACAGTCTCTTTCAAGCTACAAACAGCGGCAGGTTTCCCTCTTCTCAGAAGGGAGAGAAGGCGTGCCCTCTGGCCTCCCCTTGATTTTCAACCCCAGCCCCAAGGCACTGGCAGGAGAAGCTAATTGGGTGCAAGGGGCCTGGGTAAAGGCTGTCTGAAGACTGGCGAAAGGAGAGAGCCAGCTCCTTTTTTAAAAAGCTCTAATTGAGTTCTGAATCAGCCTCGCTCCCTTTGATCCCTCCTCTGTTTCCCACACTGCCTGAAAGAGCTAGATCAGCACTTTATAACAAGGGTGCGCCTGCTCCCCACACCCGCCCCCCTCTCCTGACGCTCTCTGCTGCCGCCATCCACTGCTTGTCTCCTTCAGTTAAGATAATGAAGATGCTGAGAGATAAAATGTGTATTTAATAAGGGTGGGGGTAGGGAGGCGGAAAAGGGCAGCCAGGGCCTTCCCTAGTTTGGGGCCTAGCCAAGACTCAAGCTGAAAGCAAAGCTAGAGTAAAACTTGGCCCCAGGGTGTGGGGGTTTCTGGGCCTCCATCCAGCTGACTTCACTGCCTGCTGTTTGCCCTAAATTCCCCCACCTCCACCCTCTCACCCCCACACTCCTTTCTTTCCTCTCTCCTTGCTCCCAGTGGGAGAAGGGAGTCTTGCAAGCTTCAACTTTATTTTCAGCTGGTAACTTGTTCTTTGGTGCGGTGCCCCCTAGCCTAGAGTCAGCTGCAAGGTCGGGCTAGGGCAGCCCCCTCTAGCCTAGGCCTGTAGAAGCTGTGGGTTCACAGTGGGGGGTGAAAAGAGCTGGAGTTAATGAAGACCAGCTGCTAGTCTGGGTTCTGCCTACGGCGAGCTAGAGGCCAGCCTTCACAGTGGTTAGAGGTACCGGGGTGCGTGACCTCCATCCCCGGGCACAAGGATATCCTGTGGCAGCTGAGGCTTGTGCTTCTCTCTGAGCTGGGGTTTATCCTCACGTTGTAAGAGAGGAGTCTGTTCCTCCCTTCCCTTACTCCTCCCCTCCCCAAATAACACTCAGCCCTTATTGAGCTTTATAACTGTAGTGGTGGCCCAGCTGAGATCTGAGGATCTCCAAGCTCTTTTGTAAACACTCATTAACTGCCTGGGAAGAACCGAGAGCCCTGTTTAACAGCTGGGAGAGAACTGAGGCACTTTAGGGTGAAAGGTTTGACCTGAGCTCACCCCACGGACTCCACCCTGGGGCCCTCCAGCCTTGGTATTTAGTTCCTTTTCCCAGTTCTTCCTGCAGGACAGAGAAGGAGATGGAGGCAGGACTGCTGCCCTCTCCCCTTCTAGGAGGAGGCCATACTCTCTCTCTCCTTTCTCTCAAGCCTGGCCCTGACTTCCCCTGGCCCTTCACCCCATGACACTTTGCCTGCTCTGGGCCGCTGCTGGAGATGGTATGCAACTCCTTGCAAAATGTCCTCAGTCCAGTGCCCTGCAGACTTCCATGCACCTCACCCTGTCCACCGACCCTGGGTTCTCCTTTTGAGCTGTCTACAAGGTTGCCAACCCTAAACTGGGTCTGAACCTTGAAATTGATATAATTGGGGGCTTCCCTGGTAGTGCAGGGGTTTAAGACTGTGCAATGAAGCTACTGCCAGCCACTACAGAATGTGTTCAATGCCTGGCTGGCCAGGGAGCTAACCCACATGAAACCACATGGAGCAGCAGGTCTCTCCTGCCTTGCGCGCTGCTCCCCTCAGCAGTGTATTTCAGTACATCTGCCTGTTTTGCTCCCCACTCTGTCTCTGGTGAATCCTCTCACCCACCGCATCTCTGGCCTGCACCCCAGCTCTTGTATGCATAAATAAATAAATCTTTAATAAAAAAAAGAAATTGATCTAATTGTAGTCAGAGGGCCTTCTGCCCTCCAATCCCCCCCGCCCATGTCACCCCTCCATGGTACCAGACAAATCCTCTCTTTCTTTAACTTATTCTGTCTGGTAAAATTTCAGGATCCTACCAAGGGCTGGGTGACCCCTATCTTCTGCCTCCTGTTCTTCCACTGACCACTGCCATTCCCACCCATGGGTGCAGCCCGAAGTCTCCCAGCCCTACACCCTCAACTGAATGTGTATCTGCACACGTTCACCCTCCCAGACACACACCTCAGTCTCAGTATATAAAACTACCAGTTCCCAACAGTTACCTAAGTCCTTCTGCCCTTTTTACTGCTGGAAGTCAGGATTCCCACCCACTCTGGTGTTCTCGGCATTTAGGGACACCGGGGAGAATAGCAGAGAGCACCAGCCCACAATGAATGCCCCCGTGCCCACACCCTCCATAGCTGAGAATGCTGCATAGCAGGAGTGGTAAGGAAAGAGCTGGCAACCCCACCTTCAGTACCAATACCCCCATCCATCTGCTGGGCAGGAAGAAGAAATCTGTTTCTTCCTGTCCCATATTATCCCAGTCTCAGCTAAAGTCTTCCATGTGCTGTGTATCCCTGACGGCGGCTGTTCCTGTCCCAGCCCATGACTCAGACCCCATCTTTCTCCCAGGGAGCTCCTCCCCCTTGGGTCGCGGCTCTGCACCCGCTGACCCAGTCTGGCTGGTGGAAGAGGGCGGGGAGCGCCTGCTGTCTGGAGAGTGGGCTTTAGGACCCAACGGGAACCCGTGCTCTTGCAGCAGCCTAACCTAGAAGCTGGGGGGAATCCTGAATCGAGCTGAGAGGGCTTCCCCAGTTCTCCTGGGAACCCCATCGCCCCCTGCCAGCCCGTGCCTGAGCAGGTAGGACCACGCACGCCCCTTCCCAATCTCCCCTCCGCAGCTTCCCGACCGGCCTTTCCGCTTCTGATCTGGCCATTTCTCCCTCGCCAGTTCAGGCTTTCCCCATCCCTCCACCCTCACTGCTCGCGGGGGGCCGGGAGGTGGGAGCCTGGGAACAGCGGGGTGTCTGAAAGCTCAGTGCCCTTGCACCCTCCAGCGCCCTTCCTGCACTTCCCTGAGGCATTCCCTGTTCTCTAGCTAAGAATGAAAAGTGGGGGGGAAGGTCTGCCCAGGCCCCACGCCCTTGCACCCTCCTTTGCAGTGTTGCCTAATACCCCTTCCCCCACCTCACCTCCACAGGAGAATTGGCCGAGCCGGGTAATAGGGCGCTAGCAGCAGGGCCACCAAGGGACCAGAGCCTCCCTGGGGGATTTCTCTCTTGGTCCTGTCTGCCTCTGGGCCCAAAAACCTCAGGATTTTGCACACACACACACACACACACACACTCACCTTGCAGGGGAACTAATGCCTGGTTCCAGGCTCAGCTCTCACTTGGGTGGCCAAAGGCTTGGCTGGAGGGACAGTGGAGGTGGTGAGGTTTTTGGTCACCTTTTCCTCTAGGGAAAGTTCTTTTAGCTTAAGGCCCCTGTCCCTGCCAACACCTATTGCAAAGAGCTTCCCCATCCCCCCGTGTGTGTGTGTGTGTGTGTGTGTGTGTGTGTGTGTGTGTAGACCACGTGGTTGTAAGATCTATACGCCTTGCAGAGAGGTGGCTGCGTGCTTGGAGGGGAGAGATCCCAGAGTGTGGCCCAAGCCAGAGCAGGCTCAGCCCAGATGGCTGGGGAAGGGGGTGTGGACCAGATCAGGGAGGCTGCCCAGCCGTGCCAGCTCCCTGGGCTCCTTGGCTTTCAGAGCATCAAGCTCCTGGTGTTACCCAAAGCTTCTGCCTTCCTGCAGGCTCTCTGGGAGAGGACTGGATGCTACCTACTGTTTACAGTGGCTTATTACCCCCTCCCCCCCAGTGGGGGGCTGACAGCCTTGCTTTCTAGAGATGGAGGGCATTTAACTCTGGTTTGGGGGGTTTGTAAGAGGGGTGTATGACTTGGCTGAGTTACCTTGGGTGAGTGTGGATACTACCTCTGGGTGTAACAGCCTGGGGAGGGGAGGAGTAGAAGAGATTGGTCACACTTAGGGGAGCTCTCCACCTCTCTATGGAGCTGGGTAGGAGACTGGTCCCCCCTCTGGTAACTGTCTAGGTGCCGGGTGTGCTCTGCATTCCCGGGTCGCTCCCAGATCTACTATGGTTGGTTTTGGAGGAAAGGCTAGATAATGCAGTGACTGCAGACTTAGTTCTGCCCTTGACCTGAGATGGAGAATAGACACTCTGGCTGAGATCAAAGGCCTGAATCTGAAACTCAGCCCCGTCATTTAACTGCCTTTATACCGGTCTCTAAGCCTCCGTCAGCCCAAGCCTTGCTGTCTGATGGGGCACTGCTGTAAAGACCTCTAAGACTAAGTATTTTTAAGTCCTATGCCAATGATAGCAGTTGTGGTGGGGGGATGTCTAGGATGGGATTCTCTTTCCAAATCTAGGTCAGTCTCTTTGCCTTCAGCTTTCTTCCTCCATCCTTGCCCATCTGGGGGGAATGGAGAAACCAGGCAGGGCTATGGCCCAGGGGCTGCTGAATCCCCCTAACACAGGTGGTAGCTGTCCCCAGACAGTCTATGGTCAGAGAGGACAGATCTCTCCACCCGCCTTTCCTTGCTCTGGGGCTCCGCGCCTTCTCCCCTGAGCCCTGTCTCCACCTTCCTTCTGTTGTCCCTGCTCAGCGTCCTTGTCCCTGTCTCTCCCCTGCCCAGTGGCCTCCTTGTCCGGCTCACTGGGCAGGAGTCCTAATCGGATGCGACAGCTGAGATATGTGTGGCGGCTGGGAGCAGGCGTGCGGGAGGGAAGCCAGTGGGAGGATGGTATGAGGGCTGCCCCTGGCACTGCCCAGGCCTCCCAGCCACCACCTTGGGCCTGCTGACTCCTGGCTTGGCTTGGCCCTGGGGAAGGGATGCCAGAGGAAGCTCAGGAATGAAAGGGCTGGGGTCTGGTGATTGGGGACTGGGATAGGGGAAACAGCCAGTACCCCAGGACTGCTTTGCTATTTGGTGGCCTGACTGTCAGTCCTGAATGGCAGGGAGGGGAGGGCAGCCAGTGAGAGCCAGGCTGGCGCAAACCCCCTCCCTTGTTCAGAACCCCCTTGTTCAGAACTGCTTTCACTCCCCCTGCAGCCCCCTTGGCCAGTTGCTCTGTGTGGGTCACATCTGGGAGCTGCCGGGGCACCATGTGTCTGTCTGCCTCCCTCTGGGCTGTTTCCTCCCCTCCAAGGTATTTCACTCACTCTCCGGGCTGAGCGCCAGGACTCCTGGGTTTCCCGCCTGCCTCATGGTGCAGAGCCGCCCTGCAGGGCCCTGGAGAGTCACTAAGCTGGTTTCCTTCCTCCTGCGTGGGGAGGGCCTTCTCCCAGGGCTGGGAGGTGTTAGGAATCCCAGGAGGGACAGGGGTGGGGGCACTGGAGCCCCTGGCACCATAGCACCCTGACTTTTCCCTCCTAGCCTCTGACTCAGCTTGGGGGTACTCAGGCCTCCTTGACACAGCAGGGTCTGGCCTCCAGGCTTCCATCTTGACATGAGGACAGCCAAGCTCCTCAGCCATGCTGCTTAGCTTTTTCCCCCACAGTATCTGGGGTATCTGGGGGTAGTTATTGAAATCCTCATGTTTGCACCCACACATTTGAGGGGAGCAGTGGATTAGCATAATTGAGGCTGGGGCACTATTTTGTCTTCCCTCCAGCTGAGCCAGGATGAAGGAAACTGGCACAAACTTCCCCACGCCAATTCCCTCTGCCCTTAAAAGACCAGCCACTAGAGCCAGGCCCTGCCCTCTTGGTGCCCACATTGTGGTTGGCACCGATTTGTCAGAAATTGGGAAGGTTTCCCTTTAGACCGCTCGCCTCCTCTCTCCTCTCACGGAGTAGGGACAGTTCTGTGATTGTAGGTACTTATGGACAGGCCTCCCCTAGGGAAGGGGTGTGGGATGCCCCCGAGATGGCCAAGTTGGCACTAGCCCCAGGCTGGAATGCTGGACATGGTTCTGAGCTGGGAGTTTGTGGGGGAGAGCAGGACACGGGTCTCCCTACCCCCCTCATTTCCTGCTCTTTTGGGCAGCTGTGGGCGAGAAAGGCTGCAGGGACTATTTTTAGTTGGTCTGTCCCCTGGCAGGAGGGACGTGCAGAAAAGCACGGGGCAGGCAGAGGGGCTGGCCAAGGTGAAGGTAAGCAGACAGGCAGAGGAGTGAAGCAGAGCAGTCAGAGCAAGGAGGCTGGTAGGTAGGGCCAGGGCCTTGCAGAGTGAGTCCAGCCCCAGGGAGATGGGGTGGGCTGCAAGGAGGAGTCCTGGGGAGCCTTCTGGGTTCCCTCTGTCCATCTAGACTTAGAACTGGTAGAACTGGAAGCCCGGTTCTCTTACACAATCCCTTCCTCTTACAGAGGGGGAAACTGAGGCCTACAGAGGGGACATGCATGGCCCTCTGACATTTGATCAGTCACCGGCTGCAGTGGGACCGGAACCCAGGTCCTTTGCATCATTTTTCTCTCTTTGTCACTGCCCCCACCACACCTGGTTGTGCCTCTGTCCTCTGCTGCAGCACGGAGGACCCAGGCCAGGTGCGCCTGCTCTGTTTCCCTTCCTGCTTGTTTGTGCAGGGTCCCGGGTAAACCCCAGCCTGGTTTGTTTATAAGTCTCCACCATGTGGCGAGAATCTGTGTCCAAGCTGGAAGGAGGTCAGGGTTGGCGTTTGTTTAGGCGGCCTGTGGCCACTGGTGTGAACTGAGGTGCTGGGCAGCTTCCAACAGACTCAGAGGCTGGTGAGCCCTGGGTTTGGAGACACCTTCGAGAAGGGGCATCCGGTCCAAATCCCATTTTAGAGTCCCAGAGAGAGCCAGGGTTTAGCCCACAGTCCCAGGATGAGTTAGGGACAGACCAAGGACTGGGAGGCAGGTTTCCAGACTCTCAGTACCTTTGTGGCCATACCTCGGTCACAGTGGTCCTTGCTAATCCCCCCCACAAAGGAAGGCACAGGGCTGACGAGTGGAGAGATTACCACAGGCTTCTCACATCATGCCAGAGGTGAGCCCTCTTCTAAGGCCTGAAGTCAGGGACAGCTGGTAGATGCTGGTGGGGCAGAGAAATTTCAGTGGAGAATTTCGGACCCTCAGAATTCAGTCCTCTGCTGCCTCAGCCCCATCCCCAGGGCACAGCCGCAGGAGGTGCCCTTCCATAGACTGTGGTGTGCATGGTGCCCCCTGGAGGTAGTCAGGGCTCTGACTCTGTAGCCAAACATGGATGGTCCCCACCTTCTTTCTTCCAATCAGCCTCAGATCTAGCTGGGAGGAGGTGTCCAAATTGGCCTTCATCCAACACCACCCCCATTATCTCCTGCCACTCAACATCGCCTGCCCCTCCCCATCAAGCAGGTCTCAGTGGGCCACAAATTGTGGTGCCCGGAGCCCCTCCCCCTCACTCCACTCAGTTTCTCTGTCTCTGGGGGGCTGATTCATCATGCCACCCCCAATCGGGCCTGCTGTAGCATGTGAGAAATCAATAGTGCAAATGGATTGAGGTTGTTCAGCCTGTCAACTCCCCCTGGGCCCCATCAACTCTCCTGGGTCTTGGGGAGTCACTCAGGCCCCTTCTGGCTCAGCGTTCACTTGGATATACACACCTAGTGTTGTCGCCAGAGTGACGGCACAGGAATTACTCTTTCTGTCCATTTCTGCTTCTGTCTCTCTCATTCACTCTTTCTTTCAAATACTGGCCTGGGCTGAGCATGACAAATACTCTTGAACATTTATGTTCTAGCTTGGGTGGAGTGGGGGTGGAGGGGCTTACGGGGCAGTAGGCTGCCAGCCAGAGGTGGGAGGGAAGCAGGTGGGTGAGGGAAACTGTGCCCAGAGAGATCAAGCTGGGGAGGGGAT